CACAGTTGCTGAATCCTTTGGTTACATTTTTTGACTGTTGCTTTCAGATGTGGTCCGAACGTAAGGCGCTTATCCAGTGTGATACCAAGATATTTTGCTTGCGACGGCTGTTCCAAACTGACTCCCTCTAGCTGGATTTCAGGGGTGTTAGATACAAGTCTCTTCAGTGTAAAGCAGGGGTTCGTAGTTTTTTGCGGATTGATTCTCATATTCCAACGTTTACACCAAGCAGAAAGATCCTTAAGGTATTCTTGTATTCCATTTGCTGCTTCCCTCCGACATCTGGAATTGTAGATGACTGCAATGTCATCTGCATATGTAGCAATCAAAGCTTTGGAAGGATCTATCATGTGATGTCTGTTTGGGCTTGGTATATCCACTGTATATAAAGAGTAAAGCAGCGGCCCAAGCACACTGCCCTGAGGTACTCCTGCTCTCATTCTATAGTTATCAGAGTATCTGTCCCTAACTCTGACCTTGAACTCCCGTTCTTCTAGGTAGGATCTCAGAAGACCATAGTAGGGGGCAGGTAGGAGGTTTTTGATTTTAAGCAAAAGTCCAACATGCCACACCTTATCGAAGGCTTGCTGCATATCAATGAAAACTGCGTTGGAATACTCTTTGTCATCAAAGGCCTGCAAAATATGTTTCACCAATCTATGCACTTGTTCCACAGTGCCGTGTCCTCTTCGAAAACCAAATTGGTGGTCTGGCAAGATATTGTCTCGATTCATGATAACTGCTATTCGATTGGCAATGAGTCTCTCCCACAACTTGGACAGGGACGATAAGAGGCTTATCGGACGGTAAGACTCAGGATCAGCCTCTGGCTTACCTGGCTTGTGGATCATCTGAATTGCTGCTAATTTCCATTGCTTTGGGAACACTTGAGTCCTAATAATAGCATTAAATATTAAAGCTATAAATAGAATCGCTTTTATGGGCAAGGCCTTCAACGTTACGTTGCAAATTCTATCAATTCCTGGAGCCTTATTTTTCGGTAAGGACTGGATAACTTCAGATATTTCTTCAACCCTTATAGGCTTTATTGGCAACGACATCTGCAGAGGCGTCTCCAGAGTTTGATGGGTCTCGCTAACCTGAACTGTCGATGCAAAGCTATACGGAGTGAAGCGTTCTTCTAGATGTAGACCGAAAGCATTGGCCTGCTCCACTTCATTTTTTGCGAGCTCACCACTGGGACACCGAACAGGAACCTGTCTAAGGGGCTGGCGCTTAAGCGATTTTGTACATTTCCACAGTGAATAATTTGCATCCACCGTGTAGTCCATGGAAGACAATTTATGCTCAAAAAAATCGCTTCGAAGTCTACTTAAAAGGGTTCGAAGTTGCATTGCAGCTCTGTACCACAAAATACGGTCTTCAGGATCTTGAGAACGAATTGCTCTTCTTCGAAGGCGCCTTTTTGTTACAATTAGCGCCTTGGCTTCCCTTGTGAGAACAACACCATAATTGATAGGACGATAATCCGGTTCCAAAGGCGTCGAAGCAGAAGCAGCCATATAAATATTATTAGTTAGAGTGTCAACTGCATTCTCAATGTCTTGTCGTGAGTCCAGAGCAGAATTTAGTTGAAAGGAGTTATCAAGAATTTGTTTGAAAGAAGTGAGATCAGTCCGACTTGTTATTAACCGAGGGCTTCGGGTGATATTGGAACCATTTGTTAGTAGATTAACAATAAGGGCAATGTGATCAGACTCCAAGTCCCAGTTTTGGCAGATATTGATTTGAGAATCCATAATTCCGTGGTATAAAGCAAAATCGATGCAAGTAGCAGTGTGGCTAGGAACATATGGGTATCTCGTTGGTGAACCAGTGGCAAGTATTTTGGACCCTCTGGCTGAAATCGATTCAACCAGCTCACGGCCTCTGGGTGAATTGTAGGTGTCACCCCACATCCAATGTCTAGCATTCCAGTCACCACCAACTATGTACCTCTGACCACAAGAAGAGAGTATATCAGTGAAATGTCTTTCTACAATTCTTTGGCCTGGAGGACAGTATATTGCGCTTACATCCACGAGTCCTAAGCCGGTCGCAACTTTAATGGAAGACAATTGAATGCTTTTCGTTTCTATAATACGTTGTGGGAAATGACTGAGAGAGCTTCTTACCAATACCGCCGCCCCACCCATTCCTTGATTATGTCGTGAAGGTTTATATGCTGGATAGAAGGAATATCCGAAAATTTTGACAACTTCACCTCGATTGAGCCTAATTTCACTTAAAAGTATAATATCAATGTTGTTGTTGTGCGCAAAGAATTCCACTTCTCTGGCTTTACCTGAAATGCCATTGACATTCCAGATAAGGATTTTGAGTGTATTAATAATAATAAGGATGTTCTGAAGGAAGCCGATTCTGATCAAGTTCCATTCGGGAAAAGAAAGTATTAAAGTCTTGAGTAAATACGCACTGGGATTAGCATGAAGTACGCCCCCGAGTAAATACAAATATATGGAGTATATATAATGACAGCTGGGAACTGAAACTGGAACTGGCGCCAGGCGGGGAAAAACGCCCCCACTTTCCTTTTTTCGCAAACAACCTTAAAGAAGATTCGACGCCCACTCACGTTGGCTATTTATGTTTTCCCGGACCCGGCATTCGGGCCCGCTGTTTTCCCGGTTTTCCTGCCAAATCAGTACACAGTGCGGTAGTCTTTGCCGCCGTAATACGCACTCCCGGACCTTTTTTTGTTGGGGGTGGAATTTTATTTGCCCCCACTCCTCCGAAAAGCTTGCCAGCTGGAGTTCTCCGGCGGTGAATGGTTTTCTTTCATTAGCAAACAAGCGTTTACCCCCGGCGTCGAGCGTTCCCTCATTAGAGCGGCATAATTAACACGCACCACTACACTGCAGAGCGAAAAAGGGACATAACTCAAGCTGCTTTAATTTACTTTCGGAGTCGGATTCGAGTCACTTGGCAGGTGGCAATAAATGCTGGGGGGCTGCGTGGGGATGCCACGAATTGATAGCCCTAAATGATTTCAAACTCGATTCCTCGTTTCCGCCTTAATTGAATATAATTGCGAAGTAAAATGGCAACGACGTCAGCTGGGAATTGAAAATTACGCATACGCAGCGTTTGACAAACGAGCTGGCGTACTTATCTGCTGGCGAGCAAAATCGAGGCATTAATAAACCCCTTTCATACATTCTGCGCATTAAGATGCCAGTCACGCCGTCACAGGGAACTCTGAAAAACTGCAAACGGCAAACGAAAGGAAAACTCTTCGCAAACACACACACACAAACACACATCTGGCAACAATGGCGTGTGCTTTCGCAGGACTTTATTTATGGGCCAGGATACGGCGCATATCCTGGCCCCTGAAGTCTAGCCGCAAACGAATTACGCCTGCCCACTAATTGCAGCAAGTTAAAACGAAAAGTGTGTAGAACTTGCCACTTTTCCCTTTCAGGCAGTTATGTACACCGGAAATAAATGCTATCTACGATTATGTAAATTAAATAAGCATATTAAACACAGATCATGGTTTCAACTGATTATTTTAATATTAGTTCTTGTTACTTTCACATTCTTCCTGATATAAACGTAACGTGACCTACAAACAAATCATTTCCCAAACAAATATATTTTGCTCAGTGCACGCATTTGTGTAGATGCGTGCTAACCACGTGCCCAAACAATTTACGCCGCTTTAGTAGCGCAGGATATTTATGTTTATGATTACGTTGCGGTTCGCAGACTCCGCCCCAAAAGGCATTCAGCATTTCCTTGCCTTATTTTCCTACTCGCATCTCGCATTACACATTACACATACGCCATGTGCGCCATCCGTGAATTCAACTTAAGTGGGCCAAAATGGAGGAGTAAAGTCCCGCAATCCACAACAAATACAGCTCTTTGGCAATCTGAAAACCACAAAGTTGTAAACAAATCGTTAATCACTTGGCGCACAAGGCCAAAAGCGAGGAAAGCCGAAAACTCAGTTTTCAATTTGTTCAGCAGTCGCACAAGGACAACAATTGCCAGCGCAAGGACGCATTCAGTTGTTTGCAGTGCCCCCAAAACATAGGTACACACTTGTATATACGCGACTCGACTCTACTCGTATATAAGTGAGCCAGCATACCTAAACTGGGTCAATTGCCGGCGTCGCAGCTGCAGCGCTTCAGCGTTTCACTAACCTTCAGCATAAAAACGCAGCATAAATGCAGGCGCATACAGCAAAAACAACAACAAGAAAGAACGCCAAATTGCTGGGCGGCGAAAAGCGTGTCAAGGCGAGCGGCAAACGAAGCAAAGCGACCGCAAGGTGACCCAGTAAATAAGGGGGGGTTTCTATGGGTCGGTTTTGGTGGTTGGGTGGTTGGGTGGTCGGGTGGCCTGGCTTGGCTGACAAGGACGCGGACCGGACCCGGGCCCTGTTATCAGTGCAGGCGGCATGGCTTGGGATGGCTTGCTTTTTCTGTGGCATGGCCAGCTCGTTCGGGCGGCATCGTTTGCCGCTCGTGCGAGAGTCCAAGGACTCTGGCTCTGATTCTGGCTGGAAGCCAGTCAGGCAGCCAGCCAGCCAGCCAGCCAGTTGCATTGTCCGCACCCACACAGTCGCACTTGGCACCGGGCCGGCACCGGTTCGCATCGCTCCTGCTCCTGCAGTACCGCTATTTATCGCTGGTTGTAGTACTACTGCTCCTGCAGAAAACCGCGTCGCGTTTCTGTTGCCAACATGAATGCCATGGCACTCAACTACTATGTGGAGCGCAGTGACTACGAGAGCTACGGGGGGCACAGTCCTTCGGGGAAGTGCTACTCGCGCTCCTCGTCCACTTCTTCAGAGGATTCCCTGATGCAGCCAAATAACCGCCAAGTACGAAAGTGATCTAAGCAAATAGTGAAATGAACAAGAAATAGAAAGCAAACAGTTGACTACAGTTCTTATAAATATAAGCCCATTATATTTAATCTATTTATTTATTTTTATGCCAACCCTCTTCATCTTCTCATTGCAGTCCAAAAAGTTCCGCTGCGTTTATCCGGGCTGTCACTATGTGGAACCCGATCAGAACAAAATCGTACGTCACATCAGGAAAACACATTTGGGGTAAGTGTACAAGAAGTGCTGCACTGCTATCAGAGGATTAAGAGTCGAGCAGCAAGTGGGCGGGGCCTTGACTTAGCCACCGACCTTCTCCACCCAGAGAAGAGGGAGCAGGGTAAGGGGAAGGGGAAGGGGAGCAAGCAGCTCGAAAGTAGAGCACTCGAGCACAGTAAGCAGGTCACACGAGTATAGCTTATGGCCCCTTCTCTCCAGCACGCAGATTACTTTGCGCACCTGCGGGCCAACGAGTGGGTGGCTCAGTAGCTCAGTGGCTCAGTGGAGGGGTGGTGCAGTGGTGCAGCGGTGCGCTTTTGAGGCCAAGGTCCAATCCCAATTACCCACACACGATCCGCGCTGAGCTTTGACACTTGCCAATCTCGTTTCCTATGTAAATCAAATAAAAGACGCTCTGGGCTTTGTTTCTTTTTTTGTTGCTCTTGCTTTGACATTGTTATTGTTGTTCTCTCTTCTGCATACATGCGGTATATCTATCGTATATGTATATATATAATTGTATATGTTTCGCTTTATATTTATGTTTGCAGTTGTGTGTTGGTGGTGTAGTTGTTGGCTGCTCTATAAAGTACAGTCGCATTTAGGATGCGAGTCTACAGAATGTCGGTTTGTGTGTGTATAGATTACTACGTTTATATCTAGGTGTATATGATTATATAGCGCTCGGCTTGCTGGCAGCGATATAGTAGGATCTATGACAGGATCTGGGCGTGGGGGGTGAGAAACATAGGCGTGCCTCCAGAACTGAATTAATCGTAATCATACGCGGGTGTATGCATAATCTCGTGGCGCGAGTCGGCCCTTAGTAAATGGTATCGTAACTTAGCACTAATTCCTATGAGCAATTTCTTACAATTTGAAACGAACTAAACAAGTACAAAAATTGAAACTAACTGGAGGTACACACAATATAATATAATAACACACATAATAGATACAGTACAATCTGAATTTGTTGGTTTGTTCAAAGCTTTCGGCAAAAACTGCAATTGGCAATCGGCATATTAACTAAGAAACTTCCTGAAGCGCAGTCCCGCGTGGGTTAAATATCGGTATTACATTTCACATACGTTAAAAACACTAATTACTATGGGCTAAAATTAGCTTAGGCTTATTAATATGCTGCGTGTTCTAAACAACTACATTAGTCTGCCTTGATTTGTTGATTGTTTTTTTGTTGGTTGCTTGCTGGGGGCTGGGACTCCTCCGATACGTCCGATCAATTTAAAGGGGGGTTAAAAGAGTTTAGAGGTAGTAAAATGGGATAGCAGAACATAAACCCAACTTAATTTCGAGCACAGAAAACATAATTTACACTTTTCAATAAATAAACTAAACATAAACTGGTAACAAAACAGAAGCTGAAACAAAAAGAACCAATCGAATTGAAGTTGAGCGGACTTATAACGAAGAGAGTTCCCAGAAAGATGTATGGCCGCCCTAGTGCGGATGCATAAGTCCATGGGTGATGTCCATCCCATCGCCAATCCCATTCACGCTGAGCCCGCCATTTAGCATGCTAGAAGCTAGAAGGAAACATGGCATAAGTATAAGTGTCATAGTTTAAATCTCGATTTGCTCTTACAATTGCGTGATCCTTGCGTGTCCACTTGCGTCCAGTACTGTTCAGATGGGCTCTGAGTACTAGTCCCCGGCGGAGCCTGGACCGGCGCCCCCGTGTACCGAAAATACGGATTCTTAAGGTCCAGGGTGTTGCTCGACGAGATAAGCGTGCCCTCTATGTGCAGGTCGATGGTCACGTCGTACGACTGTCTTCGGTTTGCCTCCAGCAGCACTCGACCGGTCAGCGTTTGGCCCTGCTTGATGAAGATGGGCATGGGCAGCAGGCAGCGCACTTGATACCAATGCGTCAGTGGGGCCGTGGGCGACGTGGAGAGCCACACGTTCTGGCTGCTGCCGCTGAACTCCACGTCGAACCAAAAGGCCAGTCCATGGCAGATACCCGTCTGGAGGATGTGAAACTCCAGGGGGATGTCTATAAAAGGTCAGAGGTTAGTCATTGCTTTATAACTGATTTTACTCGTAAGAGCACTCACCAATCACATGAAGGTCGTCCTCCTTATCGTTGAGAAAATCGCACACGTGCCTCACAGACTTTGCCATGCAAATGCGGATGTCGAAGGTGTCCACAATGGGCTGACGGAAGTACTCCTTCATGCCCTCCTTGTGAAGCGTGGTCAGGTCGACGCCGTGGAAGGCGGACTGGTACCAGAAGTTGGCCTTATTGTACTGTTCCGAGTACAGAGACTCATCCGAAAACGGGGCGATGTGCAGGTCGCCATGTGTGGGGTACATCTTGCCGTGTGGCTTCAGCCACTTTCTAGCGTGCAAATACGTCTCCAACATTCGCTCGTTATACAACATATAGCCCATTGGCTCCGATATGATGACGTCCACCTTCTCGGGCAGCTCGATCTCCTCGATCTTGCCCGGTATCACAGAGATCTTGTGCTGCACATTGTTCGATTCGACCAGCTGCTGAGCATACTGGGCCATGTTGGAGGCCTCAATGGCGTACACCTTAGCGGCTCCTGCCTGAACGGCAAAGAAAGACAATATTCCCGATCCAGCGCCCACATCCAACACAATCTTGTCCTGGAAATCCACTGCATTGCCCAGGATGGCACGCTGATAGGTGCTCGTTCTTACATAGTCCTGCATCATGTTCTGCTGCTGGCTGAGGTAGCCATAAAACTGGAAGTACTGCGAAGCGGACGACTCCTCGGTGCGCTGAGAGAAAACAGACTTGGGCCTCAGATGCTTGACGTTCTCCACCACTTTGCGGAAGAGTTGCTGATCCTGGTCGCTGGCGAACCGCAAAACGAGATTATCCGCGTCCAGGGACACGGCATAGCTTCGTCTGCCCATCTGAGCGGCATCCGTATCGGAGGCAATCATGTACTCCTTGAGCACGTGGCTGCGGTCTTCATCTACGGGAGAGATTATATATGATTAGGTGGTTTTTTTAAGGGGGTCTTCAGTTTTTTTTTACCGGACACCACACGAAGCACCACTCCCTGGGAATCGTAGCTGCAGAGCAGTGTGCAACTGCCCTTGTATTTGTTGGCAAACTCCAGCTTTTGCTCGTCGGCAATTGCGCTGATGACCACTCCGCTAAATTGGCAATTGCTAAGTGGACAAACGGCGGCGGCGGTGGCCAGTTTTCGGGGCTCTTCGGGTCGCAGGCTAGACATTTTGGCTGGCAATATATAAATATGCTTTTTGGAGGGCAAAGGAGATCGGGACTTGGCGTCTTTTTTTCCCCTTGTTTAATTGACTATGTAGGCCGTGCTATACACACACACACACTAACGCACAGAGAGACGCACACGCACACGGGATGCAGACAGACAGACGCGCAAATTTTTCTTTCTGCAAAATTTTCCACACCACTATAGCAATGACTTGTGACTCGGGCAGCTGGGGTTCGATAATTGGCGCGCTCTTTGCTTATGTGCGCTGCTCGGTGACGGGACGGCTGCTCAAAATCGATCGCTCTTGTTGATTTCGTATTGATTTTGATTTCACGGAACGCGGAACGTGCGTATTTTTTTGCAAAAAGTTGGCGTTTAGTGGTACCAGTCGACGGAAAGGCTTAGCCATAAAAATTACCGACTTAGAAATCCCTAAAATAAACCCTAGAGTTAGTTTTCCCACCTTGCACCGTTGGTTGGAACCTCGGATCTATACGGGCTGTTGTTCATGTCGACGTGGCGGGGTGAATGACAATGCAGTTTGGTTGGCAACGCGAGTGCAAAACAAAAAAAACGGTCGTTTTAAAAGGGCTGTTAGGTACTTAATTTTTGTACCTGGCTGAATTTATGTTAAAAAACTTATTTTGAAACGTTTTTCTTTTTATATTTTTTGTTCTTAAAATAACAAATTATTATCATAAGGTCGAAAGCATTTTTACTTCTTTTACTTATTCTACAAAGAGACGTCGGGGAAAGTTTTTACAATGAAAGTTTATCTGTACTTTGAGGTCCTTAGCTTGGCAGTGAATATTTTCCGCTGAGGTACAAAATCCCAATAGACTCAGCATCACTTCCTCGAAACACCCTTCTAACCGAATCGCCAACTTTTCAATCGCCCTGCAGGAAGAAGGCCCGTCGCTCCGCAGATGATGGCGAGAACGAGGAGGAGTTCTACTACACGGATGTCGAGGATGACGACGAGCAGGTGAAGCCCAGTTTGGCCTCCGAGCCGACACTGAGTCACCGGGACATGGCGCGTCCGCCGCACGAGGATCCTGAGTACCAGAAGCAGATTGTGGGCAACTTCAAGTGGGTTTTCTTACATTCCGTTTTAAATGTAACCCTACTTACCTTTTTATTTAATCATCTAATAGGCAAGGACGTGGCGGGAGCCACTACAACCACCTAGCGCAGCCGCACGGACGCACCATCAGCGGCAGCAGCATCCCGAGCACCCACCAGCAGCAGCTGCAGAACAACAACACCAGCTGCATCCCCACGTCGCACCTGGTCCACCACAACTACACCTGGCCAGCGGCGGCGGCGTCGGCAGCGGTGGGCAGCATCTCCGCCGCGGGGACGGGGCTAGTTTCGGCCAGCTCATCCGCCTCGCCGCTCGGCAAGCACGCTCGCTCGTCGTCCACCCGTCCGTCCCACTCGGTAGCGCCATATCCATCGCCGACCTACGTCCAGCAGCAGCAGCAGCATCACAGCAACAGCAACAGCAGCAGCAACGGCCACCACAGCAACCACCATACGCATCACCACAATTACGCCGGCAGCAGCGGTAACAGCAGCAGCAACAGCAGCAGCAGCAGTCCGGTGATCCACAGCAATAGCAGTGCCAACAACATGTTGCAGCAGTTGTCGCAGCAGAACGTCACAGTAACGGCACATCACAGCCAACAGCAGCAGCAGCAGCAGTTGCAGTCGCAACATCACCAACAACAACAACAGCAACACCAGCAGCAGCAGCAGCAACACCTCCTGTCCAGTGTGACGATCACGCCCAACTATCATCCGGCGCAGCAGCAACATCACCAGCCGATGCGTGGCCATCAGCAGCAGCAACATCAGCAACATCCACAGACAACTGCCGGCAACTTGGTTGCCCACAACAACAACAACCACAGCAATACGCTGCAGCAGCAACACATGGCGCCACAGGCGGCCGTTAAGCATACGCCCCATTCGCCGGGGAAGAGAACGCGTGGCGAGAACAAGAAGTGCCGCAAGGTGTACGGCATGGAGAAGCGCGACCAGTGGTGCACCCAGTGCCGGTGGAAGAAGGCGTGCAGCCGCTTCGGCGACTGAAAGCGACAGAAGTCGTCGACGGAGGCGGCAAACCAGGCGTCGGCGCAACAGTCCAAGGCAGCAGCAGCAGCAGCAGCAGCCGCTGCGGCAGCAACATCAGCAACACCCAATCCAACAGCAGCAGCAGCAACAACAACAGCCAGCACTCCTAATCCTAATCCAGCAGCAACATCGTCCTCGAAGATGACCACCACAGTGGTACGTTTGGCCGCCGAGGTGGCTGCCGGCAAGCAGTTGCCCTCCTCGCTGACCATCAAAACGAACAAGCGGTACGGCGGGCAGGTGCAACAGCAGCAGCACATGCAGCAGCAGCAGCAGCAGCAACCACAACCGTTTGCGGTGAGCGCCAACAGCAATACGATTAGCAATCGACCGGTGCGCATACGCAGTGTGGCCACCTCGGTGATTGTGGCACCCATCGCAACGACGACCACGCCCACCCAAACTGAGGGAGCTGAGCTGGTAATGGACGAGGATGAGGAGGAGCAGCAGGAGGAGCAGGAGCTGGAGGAACAGGAGGCTCTGGAGGATCAGGAGGATGCGCAGGTGGCTGCCGCCAACGGTCTGCTGGCCTGGAGCCGAGCGGCCGCCAGTCAGCAGCAGGCGCAGGCCGTCCTGATGCAGGGTTAATCGCGCCAGGGAAAACCACCGGAACCACCGCCCCCAAAACCGCTGACCCCCAGTGGATGGGCTGCCCCCCTTGTCATTGGGCTCACGTTGCCCCCGACGACACACAAAACGCAAAAAATGCAAATGAAAAATGGTCTCTTCTTATTTACTCTGCATTGAATTGTGCACCTTAAACACGTAACGGTATCTCTTTTGTTGTTGTGCAGGTGTTTGCCAACTGCCGTGCAAATGTTGCTGACATTTGCGCCCGGGCAACATTTGCAATCTACAATAATCTAATTATTATTATTATTATTATTATTATATTATTATTATTATTATTATTATTATTACTATTATTACAGTGCGTAAATATACATATACATATTTATTTCTAAAATGACTTTGTTAATTCTTATGTTAAAAAGCAAAAGCAGCAGTTGGCACATTTTTATATATACAAACAAACAAAGCAAACAAAAACAAACAGTTAAAATACGTATGCCAGCTGTTTTACATAAAACATAACAAAAAAATGCAAAAGAAAAAACAGCAAAAAACAATTCAAACATAAACAACAACAACAACAACAAACAAACAAATGAAAGAAAACAAAGGAAAACCATATTTAAAGCAAATATACATTTGATTTTTTTTAGTTGTAAGAACTCTAGTAAATTTTTTTCTAGTATTAAGTGCAACTTCTGTTCTACTTCTCGCTCTAAACAAAGAAAACAAAACGAAATGAAATGAAATGAAATGAAAACGACAAACCAACTCAACTCAAACAAACAAATCAAAATGAAACTATAAAGATAAAGCAGAATATTCAAAACGAAAACCTAAAGATATGCATATTAAATATTCAAGGCGTTGCATCTACACATTTAAAATAGGCATAAACAAAAAATAGTTAAATTAATTGCATAATCACGTGTAACTCAAATCCAAGAACCGTTTAAAACAATTTGTAAGTGTGTGTTAAGCGCTAAGAGTTAAGTATTAATCGACTTCATGCATACGAGCGGCAATAGATGGACACACAGCAAAATAATCTAGTTAATTAAGCACCCAGCCACCAAACACCCACCACCACCACCCAAGAGCCCGAAACTCTCAACATCTATAGAACAATTACCCCCAACCCGAACCCAAGACCACGCTAATGTAAAATATAGACATACGAGCAACTTAAACTTAAATGTAGTGAATTTTAAAAAACAAAAACAAACAAACCAAGCAAGCAAACAAACAAACAAACAACAGAGACAGGCCGACAGACAAACAGACAGTTGGATTGTGGTAGATTCTAATCCTTATAAAAATGAGAAAAGGGAACCGTCAAAATTTCTATTGGAGCCAGAAGGAAAACACTTTCAAAACATGTTCAAATTTTTAATACATTGTTAAGTTGATATTTTCTAAAACACACAAAAACGAAAAATGAGCTAAATTCGTATATTGATTAATTTGTAATGAACTTATGACTAAAAACTAAGATTTAAAAGAGAAAAACTAAAAAAACTTTTTGCGTTGTGCAGCTGTTGTGAATTGTTCAAATTACGGTATACATATACAAACAATGACGTCACAAAGGACCCAGCGAGGTTTGCGAGGATATAAGGGAAGAAGAGTTATACAGCCTATCCAAGGATGGCCAGAGATTGAGATTGAGGAGCAGGAGAACTTACGGATGAAGAAATGAAAATACACAAGGAATTCTTAACCAAATTGGAAGTACAAACTAAAGTCTAGAATATGTAAATATAGAACCCCCATACACACACACTTAAAGAGGAAAAGGACGAGGACGAGAGAAGTGCAATGGGATAACGAATCCAAGTCGGAACCGAAAGAATCGCGATCGGAAAACATATAGTGGATGGATGGGCGAGAGGAAGGATAAATTGAGCTTACGCGGCAGCAGCTCAAAAACTTTTTTTTTGAAAATCAAAATGGGAAAGTTACAGAGGAGCGGGGAAAATGAATAGAAAAGATAAGCGGGCGAATGCAAAAACCGTAAGGAGAAAAAAAAACACGCAAGCGAAAATTTCATTGAAATTGTTTGCCGTGATTTGAATGAAATTCATAATGGTGGCCATTTTTGTGTAATGCGAAAAAGTTTAACAACATTTTGTACACTTGTATTTCGTTTTTATTAACTATAAGTTTAATCAAACCCCAAAACAACCAAGAAGAACGATTGATTGTAAACGAACCGAGTAAAATGCAACTGAAAACGGAGAAAATGCAATACATTTTACTTATTTTTGTCTGTCGCCCGTCGGGGCGTCTATTCTTTATTACGATTATGATTACGAGTATGATTATTGTCATCATTATTATTGTTTTTCTTGCTAATTTTCGTGCACCACACACACACACAAAAATACACACACACACAACACGAAACACCCCACACAAGCGTAGTTAAGTACGTACACTCGATCTATTTCGTTGCGTTCTGGAAATTATTTAAACTTAAGTGATATTTTTAAACAAACAAAAAACAAAGAAAGAATGAAAACTATCCATTATTATATAATTATCGCTAATATTTCTTACTATTTTATGTGTACGATTACCATGATCACGAAAAGAGCAAGAAATGCAAGGCAAGCTAAGTCCCTCGATCGGGATATCCTCAAAAACCCGATCGGAGATCTGAACTGGCCTGAAAAACAAACGGAAAGTGACAACAGATAAAGCAAACACCTAATGCTTAACGAAGATTAATGATTAATGGAGAAAAATGCAGAGAAATCAGCAAAGGTCTAAGCTCTAATCCATCGAACATGAATGCTAGATTCATACAATAGCGAGAAATAATATTTCTTTTTAATTTTTTTCTTGAAAAGAATACAACACAACAACAACAACAACAACAAGAACACCCATTTTATTAAAAAATATACAATTGTTATTTATAATTAAACAAAACAAAAACCAAGCATCTTGTTTTCATTATGATTTGACGACTTTTCAGTTGGTACTTTGGTTTGGTTTGGTTTCCCTTCCCGTTCAGTTACTCCTTGTTTCGAACAGAACGGTTTCCGGATTCGCGGAACGGACGCAACCAGTTTCCTCCACAAGAAGAATGCATTTCTCGAACAGACACGGTTTCTCCCAGGGTCTCAGAACAGTAGAACAGATCGGAACAATCGGAACTAATTGTACAACTTTCTACCGCATCTACATACTCGATATTCCGATGGTAGACTAGAAAGGTCCTAGTTCGTCTTAAGTTGCCCTTTCGCTGAATTTAGCCCGCGGATGTGCAGACAGGGAAGTGCTTACATAACACAGTCACAACAGCAGCAGCAGCAGCAGCCGTAAAAGATCGATGTGTTTATCCTTAAAAGCTAGGTATACATACATATATTATCGGGCATATTTGCCCCCGTTTACTCGTAAGCAGAATACGCATGTAGATGGCAAACTTATGATATTTCTTCTGATATTTATCGTCGTTATTGATGTGTAAACATAACATTAACTCTAAGCTAAGATGGGTTCGGATTCGGGTTCGGATTCGGAGAAGTCCCTTACGGAGGATCGGATCGAATTGGATCGGATCAAGTTCGGTTTAAATTAGAAATCTCACGGCAGCTGGCGGCCGGATTTTCATCCGGCGCAGCGATTGCTGGTTCAGCGCGGTATGTTGCATCCACTAAACGATAACTAAGTAATTATACTTGATACATTAATATACATATACGGTACATTTAGGTGTGTAGCTAGGGGCGAAGTGTCTAAGCGATTTTTGTGTGGACCCCACATCGATATGGATATATACTATATCTTTGTGATCCCGCTTAGAGTCGGAGCTCTGCGACCGTGGCTGCGGCCTGGGCGTCTTTGTGTGTGTGTTGGTGTTCATTTTTTGGATAATTGGAAAAGCGAAATTAGTTTTAAAACAAAAACGCATTCAATATAAGGCTGATTTATTTGACTTGTTCATTTTGATATATACACGGACACACTCGAACACACACACACACACACATGGCACACACGCACACTCACGCATATCAGCCAGGCAGCTAACGGTGCTAGACATTGAATTCCATTTAAGATTAAGTGCATTGAATCGGTTAGTTTAGTGAGTACCCAGCAAAAGACTTGCGCATCGTTTATTTAGCTGCGTTTTCACGACACCCTCGCCATCGCACAATCACACCCACAAGCACAAGCACACACACTTGCATTTAACCATTTCATCGATGGGAATCGAACAGAAGCAGGCCAAAGGAGCTGTATCCCGGGAAAGCAGATTTCCATTGCATACCTCAGGGCGCTCCAAAAGTGAAAAGTTGTTGGACGGACGGGAAATGTCGAATCAAGTGCTCTACACTGCCAGCAACGAAAACACAATCGCATTCGCTCATGCCTGCCGCTCGAATCACTCCATCCTGCTTACGAAAAAAAAAAAAAAGAAAAGGAAACACACACACAATTTCGAGAAAAGCAATAAGCTGTTTATACAATCAATTCTCCTTGTAATCATACATTGCTAACATCAAAGACATTCTTGTGAACTGACTGATACTTCAAACCAAAACCAAAATACGAAGATTATGTATAGTGAACGTCACGAAAATCGGACGTGAGTTCATCATCTTTAACATAGGCCTCTGCGATCGTGTGTCGACAGAGCTTGCATAAGTTAAGCGAAGGCATAATTTCAATAATAGGTTTTAAATAAGTTTTTCTACCCAAGAGTTGTTGTAACGTTTTTACACTTTGAATTTATGATAATTGGCAAGACAATTGTTTTGATAACTGAAACTGAATGGACGCGAGCGTAAGGATTGAGAACTTCGGCCGAAATCGTATTCAATTATTTTGCATTGATTGGCTGGCAACTGAAACCACTAGATGTCTTCAAAATTGGCTAATATGCAACCTTGATTTCGAAAAAGACTTTTTGTTCTGGGCAAAGGACCCTTGAATATTAACGGGTTAACAGTAGTGCCCGAAAGAAAATCGGATTAGGAACGGATAAGCGGACGCCATGGAAATCCTAAATTTAAAACCTAACACTTAACAATTAATATGTAACATTAACAATAATCGGTTTAGTTCGGCTAACTGAGAACTTTATTAGGATCTAGGCGATATGAGAGATACTTTGAATGACTTGACTTGACTTGATTAAAATTAGACGCTCCCCTCTTCCCCCCGTTCCCACCACATTTGTATTTGTATTTGTATTTGTATTTGTATGTCTAGCATTAGGGGCATCCCCCAGCACACGCACACTAACACCCACATCTACACCCGAAACCAAAACTCATTATCACCTTGAACTTTTCGTGTTTTTATGTGTAGTTCGTAAGCAGTAAGACGGAGATTAATGAGAGATAAATCTATGATATATTATATATATATATAGATATATATATACTTGTTGTTGTGTCTACATGTATAGAAGTAACGTACCCAATCAGATCGATTCATCTTTGTTTTGTTTACCTTGTTGACTTGTTTGCTGTTACGAAGATTCTATTACCCCCACTGTGTACTTATCTCGGTTCTGCTTGGACTAGCCAACTAGTTGAACTGGTTGTCCGCGAGGTTAGGCTAGAGCATACTTTAAAGGCAGGCGGCGGTCGCCAGGATCGCCGCCACTGATCACCACATAACAAGGTACAAAAGAGGCGCTAAACGGGGCGGCAACCACCCCCTGCCACGCCCATTAGCCAGAGGCGAAGGCCTGGAGCAGGTGAAAAACCAACCAAACAAAAAAATAAAAGAAAAGAAAAGAAAAGAAAAAGGGAAAACAAAAACAAAACGAGCAGAGAGGCACACAGACACAGAGTAACTAACACTAAAAATACGGTGTTTTGCATTTCCAAACGAAAGAAAGAAAAACCATTTGAAACCAAGTAAAAATAATAACCAGCAACTAAGTGTCGTGTATATTCCATGTTAAACAAAGTACAGCCACTGTGCAGCAGCAGCAGCAACTATATAAGCATATAATTATACATGTATACAGTATACATATATTTAAATACAGATAATATATATAACCATATGCATACATATATCTAACCGAAATTACGAATAGCGATCGAGAACAAGAACGAGAGCAAGAGCAAGAACAAGAACAAGAACTCCCCTCTGACGACGGCAATGATTGTTCATATACCTATACCTATACGTATATGCAGTACCCCTAGATACATAGATGTGCATTAATCATACGAACCGTTGTCTTAATGTGAAAAGCTTAAGTCGACACCGAAACTAATGTAATAGCAGCTAAAGAACTCGAGGACCCAACAAACCGAAACCCAATCACGAGCGACCCTTGACCTTTAACCCTTTAAAAAAAAAAACATAACAAAAACATAACGAATATCCGAAATACAGAGCAGCAGAGATGTTTAACACTTCAATTAAACATTGGTGAGAATCGAGTACCTACAGAACTAAAACAAAAACAAAAACAAAAAGAAAAGAGATAGAGAGCGCGCACACACGCACATGTCCTGCACATCCTACGGTGGGCTGGTGTGCGTGTGGGGCGACTATATTTTTTGCAAAGCAAATTATGCAGCAGATGCAACCGAAACTAACGGAAAAACGTTTTACGCGCGAACATTTTTAGACATACAAAAAATAGAAGGAAAGGATGTGCGAGTTGAGGGGAACACACACACAAACTACAGATCATAAATAGATATATTTTGCGTCTTTATATATATGTATACAGGCAGACAACACAGGCATATTTGTATATTTACACTCAATGTACAGATCGAAGCTAATGAAAATCACAGCATCTAGGGATTTAGGGATACTTTATTACTTGTTGCTCGGTTGGCTTTTTACGCTTCATGTCCTGCATTAATGCACTGATGTAACCCCCCGTTGTTTCCGATCCCCGATCAGCCATTAACCCATTATGTCGGATAGGATGTGCACATTTTGTACTAGGCGTCTGTCCATAGAACACCGCTCTACATATGTACGTATACCTAAGGATCCACCACTCTCATCACACCGAATCGAATCATTAACACCAATCTCTAACACCAATCACGCTACAAGAACTCCCACAATATAAATCATTTTCAAAACTATTTTAAGCGATTGAAAATATACAACAAAGAATGCAAGAAACGCTAAAAATCATCTCAATGAACGTGTTTATGAATGTTGATTTTAAACAATAAATCGAAATCAGAATGAATAAAAACCTAAACAACTAATTGTATGAAGTAAGCTAAACAAAATAAAAATTCTATAATAAAAATAAAACAGAAAAGACAAGAGCAAAATGATACTTTCAAAACTAAACATTTGTGTTTTTATTGATTGGAAATGTATTCTTTTAAGGAATTACATAGTGCATAGTTCCTTCTTGGATTAAAGTTTTAAAAAATTATGTTGAGGGTTGAAATTTACTTGGTCAAGAAATAGTAGTTACTTTGCACCAAGTATAGAGTATGCAACCAAATGACAGCAACGTGTTGAAATGCCAACGCGCGATTCAAGCGAAATGTGCCAAAAATGGAGACGCATGTGTGCTGCCAGGCCAGTTGCAGTGACCACCATTCGACCTGTAAGAAATTAAGATTCTCTGGATTTCTATTCATAATTATATCTGCAAACTTACGCTTTGCTCTACCTGGGCACTTCGCTTGTGCGGGGTTTTCAAGAGGTCCCTCGTCTCCTCGAGTAGGGAACATGTTTTAAAGCTAATAGTGCTCAACAAACAGGAAAGCATAATTGGTTGAAGGCAGATGACGAAGCCTAGCCCCAGGTACATCAACTCCTCGTCGTCACGTCCATATCTGTACACTAAGCGAACCTCTAAGTAACCAACCACAATGCCACTCCAAATATTCCGAGCCAAGTAGCACAGAAGGACCCATTGGAATATGGAGCACAGCTCCGAGAGTAAGTTGATCAGGGACTGAAACATGTTGCGCAGCCTGCAAAGCTCACCTAATTGCCGAGAGACAGGTATGGGTTTCTGATTAAAAATTAACATCTTAAGGCCGAATTCCAGTCGCCACCAACTTTGGCATATCTTAGCCAAGAGGGCAAAAAACAAGTAGCTCATCGCAAATATCATGCATTCGGAAAAAAAACAGTTGCAGGGATGTTTGAAGTGCAATTCTGCTTGAAAAACAAACATGGCCACATGAATTCCAAGACGAAGGATCAGCAGAGCAGTGAGTATATAAAGCAATCGGTCCATATAAAGCTGTTTCTCCTTCGGCACTCTGTATCCCATCATCTCGCAGAGCTTCTTTTGCCTTTGTAGCTTATTAAAAATCCTAAAGATTCTCTTTTGCCAGCGGTAAGTACATGCCATGCAGCTGATTAAAGTGAGAAACACCAATGCAAAATAAATCAGAAAGTTAATCGTCATCAGAGTAGATTTTTCCATTTCTTCAGCGAGTATCTCCCAAAAATTAAAAAAAAACTTCATTGACATGATAAGAACTATGAAGTTTTGAAGTATCCTGTAGATGACTAAGCATCGACTCCAGCGCAATTTATCCGATTCGTAATCCATGTAAAAATTCACAATTCCATTTAGGGCACAAAAATAACCCAAGAATCGCCTGACAAGTCGCCTTACCGACAACATGACCCTGTCCGATAAATTCCTCTGAAGCAACTGAGCCATCTATGAAAGGGTTGTATTGAACTTGTCATTTTTATATCAGGAGAAGATAAGAATCTCAGTTAGGAATCCACCCTCTTGGGAACACTTGTTGCTTGGCAATTACTTCATTTGGGGCTAGGCTCATCGATTTTTGGTACCCATTTTTACAAGTCTGTGAAGTTAATTGGTCTTGCTCAACATGCACTGCATTTTAAATAAATTTGTTGCATGCATCTTAAACAGATATTAATAAAAGAAAACATGAAAAACACAGAAGGGATCTAAAAAAATTATGTGTTTTTATCTTTTTCATATATTTAATTAAAAACACCTGTTAGAAATTATGTTTCCATCAATCCAAGCACTTGCTCAGTAGTTATGTCACTTTCTGAGAAGCACTTTTCCAGCTTCGGCATGCTAAGCACTTTCCACGTAACAGCGACTGGCTGAACCACGAAGCCGAGCTCGATTAAGCGAGCCGATCCCCAGGTCCATCGATCGTCTGTCGTATTTTAGCACACTCCCCAACTGGCCAACTTCAGTTTGGCATCAGCAATCACGCGAATCAGTTCGAACCAGAAGCGAAACGACCCACAATATCCGACCCACTCATTGCAACTAAAACTAAAAAAACTATGTGGAAAACGCTCGCCGCTTGACGCTTGACAAATTTCCGAATTGTCATCACCTTGAGTGCAGAGAGCATCGGTTGGGCTAATTGATTCGGGATCGAAAAAAAGTGGAAAATAATGAACGGACTGCAATTTGTTAGCGCGGATAGAGCTTGCCAATTTTTTTGCTAAACAGCCGCGAACGCGACAATCAGAGTGCTAAGTGCGCTATCAATCAGTTTGTTCCGAGGTCGCCTGCATTGTCATGGCTGGATTGCTGGTGGTGATCATTCCGCTGGTGCTCCACTTCCTCCATGGGGAAACCCACTACATACAGATCGATCATGAGGAGTTTCGTGCCAGTGGCTTTCCGCATCCACACTTTCCACCGCCTCCGCTGACGCCGCTGGATCACCTGCCTCCTCAGGTTCTGGCCGCCAAGGAGCTCACCCCCGCCGAGGTGATGGTGGACCTGACCAACGACCTGACCCACCGCCTGCTCCACTACCACTCCATTCTCAATCGCAACAACTTTGCCTTCTCGCCCACTGCTCTGGTCAGTGTACTGGTGGCCCTGTTCGAAGGATCCGCTGGAAACAGTGCCGAGGAACTGCGACATGTCCTGCAGCTGCCCAACAACCGGGATGTGACCCGCGTGGGCTACCGTGACATTCATCGACGACTGCGGGTGAGACTGGGCTGGGCCCACAAAAATCCCATTTGGGCCAATGTGCTCGCTTTGAACTTAACCCACTGCCATCGGGGTTAAGCCACTCGAATCCCCTCCGAATTAAATGCCATCGTACATTTACACGGCTGGCTGAGCACACACATCGCAAGTGAGGTGTGCGGACTGCCAAGTGGTCATTGATAAAGAACAGACTGAAAACCAAATATGCGTACTGCCAAATTAGATTGCCGCGGGCCTATGACAACTCAACTGCCAATCGATCTTTAATCTGGTTGAATGGTTCATCGACCCCATTGGTTCGGATAATCTCAACAAAGCGACCAGCAATTGTTGGAGCGAATAGATTTTTTAATTGGCAATCATTATGTACCACTACTGATCAGATTTTGGGCGGTAAAACTGGATCAATAGGGCTTTTCAATGACTAAATAAATTGAACAGAAATATTATAAGGCTTGAGGCTAAACAGGTCATAATTTACCAATTTTAAAATTAATTTAAGAGTGGTTTTCATGTATTCAGGGATTAATTTATTGGTAATATTACATATATTTTCAGACGTACTTCTTTGGTTCGGATAATCCACTCAAAGGTCTCAGCTTGAACAAGCCTAATGTGACAGTTCTCAAGGACTTCGAAACAGTTTTAATGTTCTATGGATATGATCTGAGTGTGGACATGCTATCCTCAACACCAGCAAATCTTACGTCAGATGCTGAGTTGGTCAACACCACGATGGCCAGCAATACCACGACCGAGGAAATGGAAGCGGAAACCACAACCTTAAAGGATGCTGATACCACAACGGAAGCGCCAGCTACAACAACCACGGAGGCAGCAACCACAACGACGGAAGCTGCAACCACGACAACAGAGCCACCAGCGGAGGATGCGGAAGCCACGACCGAAGCTGCTGCTACAACTTCTGGCGAAGAAGAGGCAGCTGAACCGGCAGCTGAAGATGAAGCGGCCGAACTTGTATCTGCATTTGTGGCCGAGGAGGATGCCGAGCCGCTGCTGCGCATTCAGAAGGCTCGCGTCTCCCGGTTGCCCATCAGCAAGCTCCAAGCGCCGCTCAAGCACTCGAATCCCATCACGCCAAAGCCCATGCCCATTTATCTGCCGAGTGCCAGGACAGCTGCCATGCCAATGATGGCCCGTCAAGTTGCCGAGCGGAAACCCTCGACCACAAGGCAAGTGATTTCCATTATATCGTCGCCAGCTGTAAACTCCACAGTGACGCGAAAGACCAAGATGGCGCGGCAAAAGCGACATGCACTGCCTTACAAAGACCTGGATGCGAATCTCTTCCTGACGCTCTTCAATCCGCACACGCATGTCCCGCACCATCCGCTGCACATTCCGCCGCCAGTTCCGGCTGCCTTTGCTCCAATTACCAATGACTTTGAACCGCATTACGTAGGAGAAGCGGCCGAGGGCAAGTCCAACTACAATACGGATGTGATCAGCCATGTGTTCTATTTGGGCAACCAGCAGGTGGTCCACACCACTTTCAAGGTGTACAATGCAGTGTTGTACTACAAATACTTTGAGCACTTAAAGATGAGTGTGCTGGAGTTGGAACTGGATACCCCAGAATATAATCTAATGATCCTGCTGCCCGACTATCACACAGACATCGTGGCAGCCGCCGCCTCCTTAAAACTGGGTCCCACTCTCCGTTTGATGCGAAAGCAGCTGAAACCACGCTGGGTGCAGGCCATCATACCCGACTTCAAACTACATGGCACCATGTTTCTCACCAACGATTTGCAGAACGTAAGTATCTATCCACCATAAAGAGTGCAAATTGAAGTGTTTTTATTGAGCTGTATCTTTGAATTGTGCATTGTTTTTTGCAGATGGGAATGTAAGCAAGGTATTCACTACTGCAGTTCCCGGCTCACTCTTACTTTCATTGCAGCTGCGATGTCTTTGAGCCGAATCGCGCAGATTTCCGACCCATGACTGATGAGAAGGGCGTCTATGTGCGGCACATTGAGCAATCCATCGACGTCACCATCCGTACGCATCCCATCAATCAGCTGAAGCGTAAGTGTCTCGCATTGCAGCACACCTCAATGAAGTGGAGGCGAAGGCATTGAGCCGCAACGCATTGCGATTGCCCCACCTAATGGTGTTGCAACAGTTGCAGCTTATCTGCAACACGAGACAAAGTGCAATAAACACTTCCTTTCGCTCTCTAGGCAACTATGGCGCCCAAACGAAGCCCATTCAGATCTCCGTGAATCATCCGTTTATGTTTTTCATCATTGATCGCGACCTGGACGTGGCCGTAATGTCGGGCCGCATACTGAATCCGCTGAACGTGCGCATCCAATGAAGCTCGACGAAGGTCGAGTATCGAAAGTGATGAGCCCTTTGTACTCTGGTGCCTACAAAAACGAGATGTTAGCTATGTTAAGCTTAGTTTTTAAATGTAAATAAATAAAGAACTGGCTTTTTCCAAAAATGGCAAAACCCTGCACTTGAAAGCCCAAAACTTTTCTAAATGATATCCGAATTTGGATTGCTATACCTTAATATGATTGTGCTGCATCATTAGTTTGGTTCCGATTTTTTGGTCGATTTTCTAGACATTTTTAAAGTAAAGCTCATAATTAACAATAAATATAGTGAGGTGGTTCTTAGCCTAATCAGTTCTCTGCGGCAACGTCTTCTAGTACTGGTATGTCCCAAAGACAGTGCACACGCAGAACAGACTGGTATTGCTGAAGACCTCGGAGACGGAGGTATCGCAGTCGCAATCCCAGCAGCACCGCGAATTGTAGGTGGCACCCGCACCCAGTTCCTGGCCGAGCATCACCTGAACCACGTGCTTGTATCGCTTCACCCGGGAGCTGCTAGCTATCTGCTGGTTCACCTCGTCGGCAATCTCACTCGTCCACGTTTTAGCCACATCTTTGTCGTAGGTTTTGTCTGCAATTGTAAATGTTGCTTAGCAACATGCCTTTGGCTTATGGATTTTCCCACTTACCCTTGAGTTTATCGGCCATCACAGTGTTCATTATGTTCTTAATGGTGGGCAAAGGAAACATCTCACCAAAAGCCGGTCGCATGCTGTAGGCGGTGGGCTGAAGCGCCTGATTTTCCTGCTTTTCCCCGCCAACAGCTGAGCCTGAGTTCATACTTCCTGGTGCTGACTTTTTCAGCTGTTTCTCCGCTTCTTTAGGAACTGCAGATGTCTGGACGGACTTTGTCGCACCTCCATCTGATTTTTTGTCAGCCATTGTTTCTTTAAATTGGCGTACTTTTCTTTTAATTTTCGATTAGCTGAACCTCAATAAAAAGTCGCGGTTGTTTGTTTACATTGTCATTCACCAGGAAACGCAGACACTGACAGAGTGTTGCCACTTGACCGACAAAAAGTGGCATCTCTCGACGGTTATATTTGAAACTTATTTTTGTTATCTAAAAAATATTTAGACAAATATGTTTTAACGTATATAGGATATTTCTTAAATAAAAAATACGCCACATTAAGAAGTTGTAGGTTTCATAAAATCTTTATTCAATTCAAAATAAATCGAAAAGTTACATAATAAATTCGATAAATATGTTTTATATATGCAGGTTATAAATAAAATTACACAATAATTTAAATCATTTCATTAGTATACAGTTAATGGTTGCTCGGCTCCTTTACATCGTAATATGTAGGCTCTCGCATATAGAAAATATTTGTGTGCATCTCTTTGTGTTCACTTTGATTTTGGTTGGGCAGCAGATGACATTATGAAATTACATACATGGGTGTGCTGATCGGGAGGATGTGCGGGTGCTTCGTCAAATAAATAATAATACATTTAAACGGTATACAGAGAAGTCGACAAACAATCGCTAAGTGAAAATAACCTAAGAAAACTCAAATACACCATTTACAATTGCTCAAAATCACAATCCCTTTGCACATTGTTCACCTTACACAATCAAATCAACGCATTACATTAAATAAAAACACAACATATTGCATAGGACATACAAAGATCAGACAGATTTCAGTGGCAACGACTAACTAAACATACAATTAGGTTGAATACGAAACTAAAGGTATTCTCGAAAACAAACGTACTCCTTATTTTCAAATTGCGAAATTAGTTTTTGGTTTTGATTTCTTCTCTGCCTGTTTTTTACATTAACCTTGCGTTCCTTTCCGAAATTAGTTAGGCTCTCTACTTAAATATATTGAAATTGTTCTCTGCCAGCTTAATCACTCTGATTAGTTAGTTGCTCGTTTCGGTTACAGCTCATGGGTTTTAGTATTGTTAATTGTTCATATTCAGCTGACTTTTTGGTACGTTTTCCCCTGTTTCATTTTAAGTATTAAGGCTTAACAGTCCGTGCACAACTTCGTAGACCAACAGACTCCAGGGAAAGTTTGCTATTCAAATCTGAAAAGGAAAAGAGTTGTACATTCCGAATTTTAAAAGTTTTAATTGTCCACTCACATTTGATTCTTCGTGGTCATGCAGTTGTCCGGATAGTTTGATGCCCGTTGCCTCGGCTGAGGTCGATGCCGATCCCGCTGCCGTGAGGTCAAGTTGGGAGGCTGTAGGTCGTAGAGCAGCTCGCTTGGCCACAATTTCCAGCATTTCATTTAGTATCGCACCCTCGGCGGCCACATCGGCGGAGCTTTTGTCCAGTTCTAAAAAAAGTGGATTCAAAAAATATGTATTTAATTTAATTCTGATTAATTATTTATTTCGTTGTCAAAAACTCAAAACTTACTGTTGCAGGACAGTCGCAAATTGAGCTCTTCCTTGAGCTGGGCATGCCTATATTCCAGTTGCAGCTCCTGTTGCCTTATAGTCAGTTCCTCATCGCGTTTTCTATAAAAAGAATCAGTCATATTACTTATTAGTCAACATTAAATAATATTTCGACCTACTTGAGTGCTGTGATGTTCCTCCAAATCTCCAAAAGTTCCTTTAGTAGCTTCTCATCGTTGTCCTTGGTCGCGTCCAGGCTGCAATAAACGTTTCAATTAGTTTGGATTCCGATTAAATAACTAGTTTTTTTTACTCACTTTTCAATGTTCTGCGCCTCGCCCCGCAGGGCCTTCTCAATGAGCACTCCGCGTGCCTCCAGGTCCTTCAGCTGCACCTCGATCTCCTCCTGTTCCCGCTGAATCTCTTGAGCGATTCGCAATCGCTTGAGCTCAGCTTGTCGTGAAGCCTTCGATATGGCACGTTGCTTCTTATGCTCTCGTGTCTCGTTAGCGTAGCTCTCATCTGGAAGGGAAGGGTTTAGTAACCACATAAAAGCCATTCCACTTGGATGAATTAGGGGGTCGGGACAGGGCACTTGGGTTGGGGGGGACATTATGAAGACATTTAATGAGAGCAACAAACCATCGGATCTCTGATAATTCAGTGGCAGAGGCGGTATGGGCGGTGGTGTCTGGTCGTCCAGGGCATTTGGATGAGCGGCGGCCAAGTGGTGGGGCTTGTGTATGTAGAGCTGCGGGCTGGATGAAGAGAACGATTCGGGTTTCGGTTTCGCAGTGTTCGTTTGCTTTCGGTAGCGACTGTTGTTTGAGGTGTTCAGATACTCTTGCGAGTGTTTTGTCTGAGATGTGGCTCCTGCTGCAGTTGTGGCATTACAGACGAGCATATCCTTGTCCTAGTGTTGCGTTGTGTTTTGGAGGTATCAGAATATATATTGGGTTAAATGATTTTGAAAATTACCAAAAGATGGAGAAAGGCAAAAGTAAACAGCTTTCAGTTGACTGATTAAAAACAGAATGTTATTTACTAAAAAAAAATAGTATATACATTTAACGTGCAGGGTGTCCAAAGTCCAAAAAAAACTTAAGAAACAGTTCTTATGGTTTACCACAACCAGGAGTCCAGGTCAACCAATCATGCAAAATAATCCAGCACATTGAACTTAAATCAAATGTAACACTCCTTAACGCGATTCCCAATAAATAATAATGTGTCCAATGCTTAAACCAATAAAAACTTACAAATAAAACCACACAAATCAATATCTTAGGGCTACACACTTCCGGAAACCGAGTTCATAGCTACCACATGGAAGCTATCTATGAAGTAAACATAAATGTTATTTAAGGGAGGCATAGCAGGAAATAAAAAATAATACAGCAGGCAAACTTAAAACTTAAGACTTAAATAACTTTTGCTAGAATCAGGTAAAAGAAAATGAAAATAAAATAAATGAAAACAAATTAAAATAAATTTGTAACAATATTAAAAGGTTAATTAAACATAAAACAAACAAAAAGCCCATCGAGATGGAAAAATGTGCTATTAGGAAGAAATAAAAAACAATATTGCACGCCAAATAATAAAACTAAGCTTTTAGTGAGTGAGTTAACTTTTGAAAAATTGTGATGGATAAGTAGGGTTTAGAATAGTTAAAAGTTCTTACACCAAAACCGAAACTCCTCAGATCAAAGCAAGACTGCAAAACGATTGAGAGAATTTTAAATGTTATAAATGAGACACTTAATACCAGACAGCGAGTCCTTGGCAGTTACTAAAACTTAATCCTAGATGAAGTCGGGTGAATCGATAGCTTGGACTGGCCAAGTTCCGCGAGGCAGACAACATTTGGTTACATCAACACCGACCAAAACCACATTACAATTACGTTTACTGGGGCAACCACTTACCTTAGACTTCTCCTTGGACTTGGGCGAGATGCGGAATCGACTGAAGACGCCACCTCCACCTCCTCCTCCTCCGCCTCCAGTCGCCGCATCCGAGATGGTGGGCGTGCCACTGCTGCTGGTGCCGGGTCGCTCTGACTGCTCAGAGTGGCCGGCAGCCACAGGACCGCTTTGCTCCTTGGGACTGGTGGCCGCGGATGAGGATCCCTTCTGGAAGAAGCTGGACAACGACTGAATGAGACTCTTCCGTCGCTCCGGATCCTTTGGCCTGCGTCCGGACTTCGTTTTCGATGCCTTCTCCTGGCCGCCGGCTGCCAAATTCGGATCGGATGTGAAGTCAGCCGCTTTGGCCTGAAGTGCGGCATCCTTTTCCAGCTGCTGCTGTTGCTGCTGACCCACCATGTAGGCCAGATCGTTGACGCTCTTCGAGGCGCTCATTTTGCGGGCACGTGCCGCCAGATCACCCGACGGCATCTCCTCCAGTTGCTTTGGTTTCAGTGATCTGTTTTGGTCGTAGTGCAAACGAGAGCGGAGTAACTGCATCTTCTCCTCGGGACTGAGACCCAGTTCAGTGTTGGATTTGAGACGAGCCCTGGCTCTGGCCTCGCTCCTCAGATTCTCCGTCGAGGCAGAAATGTTGGCGACATCCGGTTTAACTGTTCCTACTCGATTTACTCTCACCGGAGCAATTGGAGTGGCAAAGTCACCCAGTTTTCCACCATTAAACGAAGCCGTCTTGCCCAGTTTGTAGCCCACCAAGGCATTCGAATCGATGTGCTCGCTAAATGGCCGCGGCTTGTAAAGATCATTACTTCGAGTTGGCGCCTGGACAGTTCGATAGGGCGACACGTAGGTGGAAGTGGCGGACTTTTGCAGTGGCCTCTCCGCCGGCGGTTTCGGTCTCTCCTCCGCCGTGGAGGCATGGTAATGCGCCTGGCTGGAGCAGTTGGAGTCTTGCGGACTGCAAGCAGCTGCCAACTTGGGCGTGGGACTCAGACTGGCACCACTGGCATAACCGCTGGTCAACAAACTCCGCTGGCGACTCCGGTGCAAGCGCTTCTCAGCGTTTAGTTGCTTCTTCGATTGGAGCTTGTCCATTACCAGATCGTGGATGAGATCCTTCTGCTTGGTGCGCTCTTTGGTGATCTCCTCCAGCTTGCTGCTGAGCGTGGGAATCTCAGGTACCTTGCCGGAGATGCTGGTGCTCCGCGGTCGCATCGAGGCCACCGGTTCCTCGGCGAGCTTCGGCTGATCCTCGACTGATTCTATCACAGGTGCATTGGCGTTCGCCTGCAGGTTGGGCGCCTCACCCTTGGAGCTCTTGCGCCTCTGGGTGCTGATCTGCGAGATGCGCTGCTGCAGAGCACGCACATACTCGAACTGGATCTGCAGGTCCTCCTCTTGAGGAGCGACCTCTTTGGGTGCATTTCCTGGCGTCGAGGAATTGGGTCCACTGCTGCTGGTCGTCACCGTTGAGGTCTTTGGTTGTTGCTCCGAGCTGCTGGGCGTGGAATCACCCTTGCCGGCTGCCAACATGGAGGCAAATTGATCGAGCACTCGCGGCGATGAGGTGTCCAGTGGACTGGTGACCACCGTCAACGCCTCGCTTTCCTCCGTTGTAGTTGGCTGAGTCTGGGATAAACCCAATCCAGTCATGCTATCGTCGTCTAGTTCATTCAGGGTACTAGAATCTGTCAAGGATTGGGTCATCGCGGGAGCCACCTCGTTCACAGGGGTTTTGGCATCATCGTGCATTATGTACGCTCCCTGCTCAATATAATCAATGCCCAGTTTCTCGTCTCGCTTCGTCACCAAGGGTGGAAGGTTTTCTGGGTAACTGGATGGCGGAGCTGCCTTGCGTGTCGTCTTCTTCGGTTCCGACTCAATGTACTCCATGTAGCCCCTGTTCTGGATGAGAGCGGTATTTGTGGCAGAGTATGCCTCTGCACAGGAACCCTCCGAACCCGTGTCCATGAACTCAATGTCATCGATATCGATGGCACTGAGGATTCCGTCCATCTGCACCACAGGTGCCTGTTTGGCCAGCTCATGGATAACCTGATTACCACTGGGTAGCTTGTTGGCTCCACGTCGTCGCTCCTTGCGCCGCTTGATTGTTCCTTTGTTCGAGTTCAGCACAAACTCCATGTCCACAAAGTTCTCCGAAATGCAGTCGTCCGCCGTCCAGTCGGAGAGTTCCGTTTCCGTGAGCACCTGTCCAGTACCCGTCGGCTCAGTTTCCGAATCGGATCCGCGGGAGAGCACCTCTCCTGTGGGCGTTTTATCGCTATCATGTGCCGTGGGAGTGGTTGGTGTGTCTGGAGTCCTGGCCAAGCTGCTCAAATTAAGCGTAATGGGCTTCACCGCCTGACTGTGCTCCACATTGCTCTCCACGATCAGAGGAAGGTTCTTCAGGCTCTCGATTTTGTTCTCGTTCTTGCTGTCGAACTTCAGTTTTGGTGGTCCCATCTCGGGCAGAGGAGGTGGTTGAGTTACCTTACGTTCCGCTTCGATCACCGTGCATTCTGCTGGCTCAGGAGTAGCAGTCACTGGTTCCACCTCGTGGTCATCCTCCATCTCCAGCTCACTGGTTTTAACAGCCGCAGCAGGTGGAACAATCACATTGGCGGGCATGTCCAGGAACTTGACATCCTCGGGATCCCCAATGTACTTTCCGTTCACAATCATCAGGCTGTCCACCTGCATCAGGGCGCCACTAGTGTCGTGCACCTCCAGACGGGGCACATTGTGCTTCCCACCCGCTGTTTGGGTATCCGGACTAGTGGTGGACTCCAGTATATAATGCTGAATATCTTCGATGCTGGACGAATCTGAACTGGAGCACATGGATCCACTGCTACCAGTGGTGGACATCACCTCCGGCTTGGCCTTGTCCCACGGGATATTCGGCACTTGGATTTGCACACTGTCCGGTTCGTAAAGCTCTTGCTCGGCCACCTCCTTCTCCGGAGAGTCGCGCTTCTCCTCGTCCGACTGCTCAAGAAGACTCTGCTGCTCCTCGCCGCCCTGCTCCTTCGCTCCCGTTCCCTCCTTGATGTGCCCCAGTATGTCTGGGATGCACTCCTTCACATCCCGGGAAACATCCGGTTTGGGTTCCTCCTTCACCTCCTGCTGCAGTTCGCTTATCTTGTTGCTGTCGGGTGTTAGGCGATCATCCACGTCCATACCGCCACCATCCACCAACTGCTTCTTGGGCGTTTCCAACGCAGTGAGATCTATGATTTCCACCGGTTTCTCAGGGGTCACCAGATCAATAACTTCAATCACCGTCTTGTTGTTCGTGGGAGTGGTGGGCGAACTCTTTCTGGCCAGCTGGTCCAGCAGCGTGGCATTCACCGCATCCGTGTACTCCATTCCCTTGTTCAGTTCGTTCTTGCAGTTGACGAACACATTCTCCTTCTCGTTATCCGTGGAGTGACTGGAGGGAGCCTTCTGTATCCGGAGTTCCACGCGCAGATCGTTAATCACATTGCTGGTGGCGGAGCGCATCAGTTCGTTGGTCTGTCCAGCTGGTTGACTGCCCTCGCCCAACTTTGTGCGATCGAGGAAGGTGCGCATGCCTGCACTGATGTCACTGCTGGGATTCAACAGCTTCTGGCACTCCGAGATGTTCGACTGGAAGCTGCGGATGCGCGAGTCCAGCACCGATGTGGATCCCGACTTCTGTATCTTATTGCCATTGGCAGGTTCGCCCAGGAGATAGCGTTTCTTCAACTCCAGGCTCTTCTTGGAGGCAATGCCCTCTGTGCTGGCCGTCTTGTTAAGTAGATAATCTCCTGGCCGAGGATTCTGCAGAGGAGCACGCTGAGTGCTGATGAGCAGGGTGGGATCCACCTGGACCAGCGGCTTGAACTGCGGCAGCGGCGGTTGTGGTTGGTATTTCTGGAGGTAACTGCCGCCCTTCTCCCGCGCCGCCAGCTGCTTTTGGTGGAGTCCGGCAGCGGCTGCATTGGGTCCGATCATGGTGGACTTGATCTGCAAAAGAAATAAATATTAAGCAACATTGCAAGTATTTCGTTTGTAAATACCCCACACTCACCTGGACCTTTGTGGGCTTTCTTAGATGGGTATCATCGATGAAGATTTTGGGCGCCTGGCGTATAATCTCATCGTTGTCGAACTCTGAGTCGGTGGAAATCTCAGTGGCAGAGTTGAGCTCCACCTCGTCGGGCGAAGTGCTCTCGGACTCGGTTTGAACCTGCAAGTGGAGTGGCATACCCAAAAATGTAGTTATTGCTGTTATGAAAGTCATATGAGTTAAAAGAAACGAACGTAGAACAAAAGCAAAGGGAGTCGGGATCCGTAGAGATCAGTGACCAGATCCTACAGCCCAAACTCGCTGGCGGCGTTTTATGTACAGCAAACACCTTCGAATCGCACATGCTAATTAGTCGGAGTAGTGGGTTAATCGGCAACAATAGCGGCGTCATGCCTTTAGGTACGATCCAGAAGGGAAACGAGAGGAACGCTGGAGGACAGAACGAACGCTGGCCGGGATTAGCTTTGGCTTTAGATTGGCTTTGGGTTAGACCATTTTGTTTTTTGTTTTTTTTGTTTGGACACAGCAACAGAACGACACAACAACACAATCGGCATTTGAGTATTTTCTAGGCTTTACAGGTTTAGAGACTACAAACTTTCGGCTTTATTTTCGGGCTGCTTGAGTTTTCGGGGTTAGCGCAACATTTCGGGGACGGCTGTGCTTGAATTTACCTTCGTAGATCGTACCCAGGTGCATTTACTTTTCAATCAAGTGGCTAACATCTATCTGGACAGAGAGGTTAGCCGGATCTTGTCTTTGGCTGTTGGTTGGAGGACTTGGACTTTAACTTGAACTTGAAGGCGGTGGCACATCGAGAGCAGACAGGCGGGCGGGCAATCTAGCATGGTTGTTGTTGGTTGGTTGGTTGGTTGGTTGGTTTTTGGGTTTCTTTTTCTTGGGACCTAAAGTGTTCTGTATGGTTTGTCGGGGGGTCAAGGGTCAGGGTCAAAGTCTGTGTTTTGTTGGAGTTGGTTTCGCTGACGTTGGGTTGGCTCTCAGTAGAGAAAGTAGTTGAGGCGTCGTCTGCGGCCAAAACGGGTGGAAAAATTATAAATGTAAAAGGAGAAGGCTAAACAACTAGGAGATAACGCACGACTCTTTGCTGCCGTAGCCGGAAAGTCCGGATCCCGATCCGGATCCGGGGCTGCGTCTTCGGAACAGATCGCTCAAATGGGAGCTCCTCGTGGTCGACGGATAATAGCTGCTGGTGGCACTGCTGCTCGGTATGTTGTATGATCTCCTGGTCAGGTAATCACTGCTTGGACTGAGGTAGTCGTAGTTATTGCTCTTCCTGGTTGAGGTATTCGGGAATCGATTGAGCGTGGAACTGGCGTAATTTCTTGGCCTGTAGCTGGTCAGATCCTCATCCACGTCGTCGTAATCCCTGCGATCCGTGCTTCGCAGCACCTCCCTCATGTAGGGATTGCGTTCCACCACTCTTTCGTTAACGAAATCCCTTTTGCGATTGTGCAACCGTTTGCTGCGATCCAGCAAGGCTTTTGTACTGGCATCCATGGGATCCTCATAGTGGGAGTAGCTTACGGGACGAGCAGTCGCCACTGTGGTGGTGGTGGACAGGGTGTCCGTGTCTTGACTGGATTGTGCTGACAGAGATTGCATGGAGGGACCTTTTTTCAAATCACTATATGACTTTGAACTCTGCCGTGAGCTGTTGGCCAAAGGTTTGAAGGGTTGTGGAGACTGGGAGCGGGGTTTATCCTTGAATCTTTGAGAACCTCTTTTCTTAATGGAGAGTAGACCTGCAAAAATATCCTCCTCCTCTAGAGATTCAGCCCGCTTATCAAATACGGTCTTGCCATCCGGCCACTTGCGGTTCTTAAAAGCTGCCGATGGCGGGGAATCCGAACGAGCATATTCGGGAAGCTGTTTCTTTAGCTTCTCTGCCTGATCCTCCTCATCCAGATCCTCGAGATCCCCCTCCCCTTCAAGCTGTGCCTTGGGCCAAGAGCGGCCCTGGAACACCTCGGGCACGGGCTCATCCACTGCCACCGGTTCGGGAACAAACCTGGGCTGCTCCGGTTTGGGTAACTTAAGCTTCTTGGGCATGGGCACAATCACCGGCTTGTTGTCCTGTAACTCTATAAATGCAAACGAGCTGCGTCGCGTGGAGCAGGCGGTGGAGTCCATGGACGTGCCACTGCCATCGACATCCAGTTTCTTGAACATGGGGGGCGTTCCTTCGTGCCGCGTGGCCGTGTCCTGGGTGCGATTCGTGTCCTGGGTGGTGCCTCGTCGGGATGCCATCGTCATGGGTGGCGTTGGTGGTGGCAGGCTGCGTTTGCCACTCGAATTGCTGCTGCTCTGCAGGGAATCACGTCTTCGCTGCTCTGCCGCAATGGTTTCGAAGCTCTCATCCCTTTTGATCAAAGCCTGTCTTCTCTCCTGCTCGAAATCCTCGATGAGGCGTTTCTGAGCTGCCTCTTCATCTGCATCGGTGGTTAGATTGTTTAGAAGTTGCACTGGACTGGTGCCAGGGGAAATGGGTCGCATTTTGTTTCTCCTTGGAAGCATGGGACTGTTGGGCAGCTTCTCCATGTCCCACTCCAAGGAGCTCTCCTTGCTGGCCACGCTAGGAGTTTTGATTGGCAACCGCCTTCGTGGCATCGGCGATGCAGGCATCTTTTCCATATCCCAATCAGAGGAGTTCTCCTTGCTACTCGATTTGGGTGGCGTTATAATCTTGGGTATCTCCACTAAACTGCTGACTGAGGAGCTTTCGCTCTTGAGGGAATTACTTTGGCTTATTGGTTTTTGGGGGCTGGAAACCTCCTGAGGAACCTCTTCCGGTTGGTTAACTTTCACTTCAACTGCTTTTTTTGGAGGTGAGTCATTTTCTTTGTTTAATGTCTTGGGATGATCCACCTCATCCACATTTTCCTCCACCAACATGCTTGGGAATCTCAAAGTTTGTTTACCTTCAACAGGCACCACTTCCATAACTTGCGGCTCTAAATTCTTAATGTAAACCTGGTGAAGAAGATCCTGCACAGAAGGAGCCATATCCTCAGGATCAAGTTTCGATAACTTCTTCTTTAACCTTTGAGGAGCCACTGGAAGAGATGGTTCACTGGAGGAGGAACTGCTTTTCTGCCTGCGCTGTGGTCGCGATGGAAAGTGCATGGCATCCACTTCATCCAAGTCATTAACCTGTTTGAACTTCTCTTCTCCAACCGGTTGGAAAGACTCCTCATCGCGCTCTAAGGATTCCAGTTTATCCAGGAAATCTCTATCAGCTGTGTTTCTGGAAACGAGGTCGGCCCTTGGTGTAATGCCCACCAGTTCGTCATTGGAATCGAAATCCACATTCACCAGCATTTCATCGGAGAAGTGGCCGAATAGCTTCTCAATGCTCTGATCCTCGGAACTGCCCCGTTTAACAACTGTGATGGGTTGGACACTGGGACTCTTGCTGATTGTGGTGCACAGGGAATCCGCATCGATGTCCTCATCCAAAGGCTCAGCAATGGCAATGGGCTCTGGTTCATGGGCCAATTCCTCTACCATTGTTTGGAAAAGATCATCTACTTGCTCCGCTTCCCTTTCCCTTTCCAAATTGGTCAAGGCAACTAGTGCTTCCTGATTAAGCTTCTCGTTCAGGGAAATATCCGATTGTCGACGAGACATTACTATACTGGATTGAGAACCACGACGTGAATTGTTTAAGGATTTATCACACCCGGTTTTCGGTAGGTTTTTAATGTCTTCTATGGGTAGGGGTATTTCTACTATAGCTTCTTTCGGCTCCTCCTTAATCTCCTCCTTAATCGGTTCCACAGCCGGACTTTTGGTCTTTGAACGTTCCAACTCTTTAGCCTCTGTCGCTTTTTCGAGCAAATCAAGAATCTCAAAGTCGTCGGGAACAGGAGTGGCTGGTTTTGGGGGCTTCGGCTCCACAACCTTTGGCACCTTCTTCTTTTGATCCTGTTTCGCCTGACGAACGCTACTGATTTTGGCCAGTTCCTCCAATGAATTATTTGTTTTAGTCACCTTTGCTGCTTTAGTGGGGGATTTCTTTTTCTTGATGGGAGACTTTCGCTTCTCGGGTGATTTACGAGTGGCAAGGCCAAAGAACTTGGCCAGTTTGGAATCGCGATATTGCACAGGGAGATCGAGTACAGGATCTGGTTTGGCTTTCTCCTTTGCCTCCTTTTGCTGTTCATCCTTCTGGGCATAGAACTTGTCTCGTTTTCTTTGCAGAAAGTTGGTGGCCTCGTTTCGCCACTCATTTCGCAGATAATCCATGGTCTTCTCCAAATCGCTCATTGAATCACTTGCTGAAACCAGAGATTCCCTAGATCGAGTCAAACTACTTAGATTACTGGTAGTTGATTCCATGCGTCGCAATTTGAACGCCGCTTGCTCATCGCTATTTTGCGAGGTAACCGAACTCATGGACTCGAATCGCTTGAGGATGTTTTGTACGCCAGTCAGTCTTTCTTTCGAAGGCTTCGAATCGAACTCTCCTTCGCCAAGGGATTTGGTTTTAACTAGTTTCTTACTACTACGTTTGGGGAGACCCAATTCCAGATCCAAGCCAGTTTCCTCTAGAATCCGATCAATATTATCCGACAGATCGCTGGGTGACTTTTCATCTTGAAACAATCGCTGATACTCGGAACTTGGCGACCGCTCTGCTCCATCTCCCAGGATTTCATCCCATATCCTTTCAGCCTCATCTTTCGGGGGTTCTTTTTCTGGAGGAACTTCAACTGCAGCGGCTTCTTGGGCTGCTGCCTTTTTGGCTTTGGTTCCCTTGGGCACAATTTTCTTAACAATCTTTATAGTTTTTCCTTTAGAGGTGGCTGTGGCTTTCGTCAGGGTCGTGCTGCTTCCCAATTTGGCGGGTTTCTTAACCACGGAGGTAGCCTTTGTGGGAGCCTTCTTTTTGGTCAGGTCGAGTGCTCCATCCATCTGATGCTCTCTTAAACTAAAGGTGTCCAATGAAGCTTGTCGTTTAGGGGGAACTGGCTTGGAGTCCGCTACTTTTTCGGGGCTCTTCTTGGCCTGCCCAGGTTTCTGCTCCTGGTTTTTGGTCTTCTCCTCCTGGAGTTTGGATTTGGCTAGCGAAGCCTCAGTCTGCGATTTCTTCAATCGATCGGCCACCGTTTCCACGGTTCTTCGCTGCGGAGCCGGACTGCTGGGAAAATACTTGGCCAGATTTACATCTTTGAGGGTAACCTGATTTTTATTTGTGCTGCTGGCAGAGCTCTTCTCTTGTTTCTGGTTGGGAAAATACTTGGAAAGGTCCATGGTTGGCGGTGCCTGTGCACTTACAGTGGGCATTGTCAGCTGAGATTTAATGTGATCCATGGTGCCTGCAAAACTGCTGGCTTGGATTTCCTTCAGTTTGTTGTTCAGCTGTTTGTTGGGTTTCCTCTCCACTTCCTCATCGACATCCACATCCATGTCATCATCCTGATCGCTGCTGTTTTGGCGTTGCAGCTTCTTTATTGTGCCCAGGATCCCTTCAATTTGCATTTTACTTTCGGTGGGAATGGGTGCTTTCTTCACCTTTGGACTTCCGGTGCTCCCATTGCTTTTCAAGCTGTTGGAACGGCTCACATTGGTGCTGTTTCCTTTAGCCTTCTCTTGCTTAAGTTTCTTTAAACCCTCTGGCTTGGGCAGCTGATCCTTGGGTCGCTCCTCAAAGTTTGGTTTACGCGGCTTCAGCTCATCCAAATTGAAATCAATTACCGGTTTGGGTTTGGGTTCTACCACAGGTGGAAGTGGACTCACCACCTTCTCGAACTTTTCATCAAACTTCGACTTGGGTTTAAGGACAGATGCAGCAGCACTTGGACTTGGAGTCACTTTTTGGCCAGCTGCTATGGCTGCATTCTCCGCCAGCCACTTTTCCTTCAGCGTGAGCTTCTTAAGGATATCACTCTTGACCAGATTCTCCTTGGCCAGCACCTCGAGGTCCTTGTTCATCTTCACCATGTTGTTCATGTGATACAATTTCTCGCTGATTGCCTCAATCTCACTGCTAAACTTACGAGGAGCATTCCGTTCCAGTTGCTCTACCTCAACACGAGTGGGCGTGGCCAGCGGCGTGGTGGGTTGACTACGGGCGGACTCAAAGGAGTTGGCCGATTTTAGAGAAATAACATCGGCCACATTCTCCTTATTGTCTACGCTTAACTTAAGCTTCTAATTATTGAGGGGGTTTATGATTTTGGGTACAAAAGTGAAACCAACACCATGACAAGGATTATAAAATAAATATCGTATAGAGTCGAGGAAAATAAATGAGAATAATGAGAAGGTTAGTCTCCCCATCACCAAAAATAGAAAAGGTATCAAATAAAACCCACCTCGGTCTCCGTATCCGTGGGCAAATTGGCAGGCAAGGGTTGCAGTCGAACCTCTTGGCGTCGCAATTCTCGGGCCTTCTTGAACTCCTCGCCCTCGGTGTCATCCTTACCATCATCTAGGATTTATAAAATATCAAATATTAATAAGAATAACTAATAACTTCCCCTGTTTGGTGCCCACTCACCCGCAATACCTTCACTAGAATCGTAGAAATCATCGGAGTCATCGCTATCCTCGCAATACTGCTTGCCAATCCAATCCGACGCAAGTTGAAGGGTCTGAGCACCAAAAGGCGAATCATCCGCCTCCTCGAACAACTCCGAGTCCGACTCGGTGTCCGATTCATCCGAGCTGGAGAGCTCTGATTGCGAATCATTGTTCGATTCGGGCAGGAAGTTGCGGCCCGACCACTCGTGCTCATCGATGACATTGGCCTCGTCATCGGACATCGCGTCGGCGGAGGCAGTGGCTCGCGAGGTCTCCAGCAGATCCACTTGGTCCCTGGGCGGCGTGGTGTCCATGGGCTCAGCAGTTGCAGCTGCAGCGGGCGAAGTGCCCGCTGTTGGTGGTGCGGCACTCGTGGCAGGTGGAGCGGCAGCTGATTTCTGTAGGAATTGAATATAATTAGTTGGCTTTATATCTTTTGTTTATTGATATACTCACCCTGGCCTTATTGGTGCGTTGGGGCAGCGGCTTGGGCGGCAACCGGAAGTGCTGGGTGCAGTAGAAGCGACCCTGCGGATCGTCCCGATCGAAGGCGTATCCTCCCAACCGCAAATTGGTGTGGCAGTGGTGGCACTTAAGGCAATTGCGATGCAGAACCAAACCCTCAACGGTGGTCTTCTCCATCAGGTAAACGGTTTGCTTGCAGAAGCGGCACTTTTCGGAGGCAGCCTGTTTCTTAAAGGCCAGCGCCACCTTGGAACTCTACATTACCACAATAAATAAGCATTTAATTAATTACGAAAATATTATATGTATATTAAATAATAAATTTACAATCAACTCTTTAACATTTGCTTGGCATTCAATGGGTGTCATGTACAAGTAGGTGAATGTGTAACTTGATGGTTGTGAATCAATGTATTTCGATGGATGATTGCCTATACTTTTTGCTTAAAGCCAGCTAACAACATCTTTGACAAGTAGCAACAGCAACCACAGGAAGCAACCACGAATATAATACAAAATAAAAAGCAGGAAGCAAATAAGAAATAGCAGAGAGCACAGGGGAAACCGATAACAATGGAACCCAAACAAACAACAAAAAGGATAATAGATACAAGGAGGTGGTGGGTGAACGCAAGATTACTCACAGATTTGGGTATGACTGTGTTGTTGGTGTTGGTGGTGGCATTGCTGCTGCCCGCGTTCTTCTCATCCGAGTTGCCTTCGTCCTTTTTGCCAAACTGGCCGGCAATGGAGGCCACCTTGTTGCGACCCCGTTCGCCAACGTCCAGATTGTGGCCCTCCTTCAGTTGCTTATCGAGATTCCGGATGGTCTGATCGATGTCCTTGAATTTCTCCGCTTCCCGCGAGTCCTGGCGCTGTGGCTTGGACATCTTGTGCTGGCGAGCCTGGAACTGCTCCTTGCTCCATTTTGGCACCTTCTCACGACCCTTTGGGCCATGGATCTCGGTCTTCTTGGACAGCTCGATTTTCTTTTCGATCTCACGCACATTCCAGTCGTTTGAGTCGATCTTGCCGATGGCTCGCATCAGATCCTTGGGCTTCTTGTCACCTCCCAGGCCACCTCTTCCAGTCATCCGCTGTTCCATGTTCTTGATTCGATCGCTGAACTGCTCATCCGCCGTACGCGGCAATGCCGAGGGAATATCTCCACGTTCGCGATCCTTTGGTTGACATGTCAGTGTTTTTGTGGTCGTGTTTTAGGGGTTTTGGTGTATTTTTTGGGCATTTAAATCATTTAAATTTGGAGGCGGAGTGGAAAGGGTGTGAAGAAATCAAAATTTATAGATATGCATAAATATTTTACGTCTGATTACTGATCGTCTCGCAACGAATCAACATAAACAATCAAATTAAAAGGCAAACAACGGAAAGCTTAACAAAATGTCATATTTAGACTGGTTAGGTGAACGAGCTTATCTTAGCGAGTAAAACATTAGTAGCTGGCAGATTGACCTAGCCGAAATTTAAGATCTTAAACTAAGCGTTAAATCACAGCAGATATTAGAGCCAAGTCGCAAAGATTTTTAAACATTTAGCAAACAGGGGTCCTTAAATAATTTTCAGAGAAGAGGAACTCTTTTAATTAATTTTAGATTAATTACCAAACGTAACAAAATTATCAAACATTTATTCTTCAACAATTGTTGCATCATTAAACCTTTTAGATACATTTTCTTTCTTCGAGCAGTTATCATTGTTAGCAAAGTCACTTGTTAGTTGCTTCAATCTTCGTTTCTTGATTTTAGGGGCGGAACTCCAGCATTAGTCAGAAGTTAGGATCAATAGTGGCCCGCGCAGGACCAAAACGGGTCAAGACAACAATAACACAGAAGAAGAGAACGGAGCGTGCAAGAGCGAGATCCTGGGGATCTCGTCGCTTACGGGAAACAGAAGCTTCCGCTCGAGGTCCTTCACGCGATCGTTGAAGACGGGCGCCTGCTGGCGGTAGAGGAATATCGAGTAGTCCTCGAAGGGGCTGCCGTCCTCCGACACCCCCAAGCCCTCACCGCCACCCTCCCGCAAAAGTTTGCCCGCCTGCAGGAGCTGCAGGCTCTTGTAGAAGTTCTGCGTCTGGTGGTAGCGCTGCTGGCGCCGCTTGCTCATCCGCTCCTGCCGATTCTCCTCGATCTCCTGCAAGCGTTGCTGGCGCTCCTCCTGCGCGGCAGAGGTGAGAGTCAACACATTGGACAGATTCGGAGGACGGGGATTCGGATTCGGATTTGGATTCTGGGACAGGGGTCGTTTTCTTTGCTTTCTATCGAGTGTGAACTATGGCAACTATGGGATGTTTGCGTGGGACAGACACAGACATAGAAAGGATCTCTAGATGGTCTACTACATTAGTACTGTGGGTTTTTGGGGGGGATTACGCATCACACGATGGGAAATGCAGACGACACTGGGACACTTGGACACTGAGCGAACTGACCTCATTGATGGTTTCGAATGCGCTAATGGCGTTACTGATTTCATGACAGAGAGCTGTTCTCAGCAGGAGCTGAACCTTGGGAACAGATTTTCGTTTGGTTTGATTTTATGAATTTGGTTTTCTTGCGATTTACATATGTGATTAACAATTGATTTTTTTTGAATGTACATGAGAGAGCTGAGTTCAAACAATTTGATACGAGCATGGTAATGAAAGAGTAATACACACGTTATTGTGTATATATAGTATAACAATATGTTCAAATGGCCGAACAAGTGGCGTAATGTCACTCCTCAGACCTTCTGGACATTCGCGTGTGAACCAATCCATGATAAAATATAATGCCAGCATTTACTCACAATATTGGCGGTTTTGTCGACCTGGCGGCGCTTCTTCGATCGACGTGGCGTGTCGTTTTGACCTATCAAAGAAATAAATACAAAATTAGTATACATTCATACTTCATTCAGATTTAAATAAATGATTCTCTGGAGTGACTGACGATACACCCTTTAAATTTTAAAAAGCTGACACTTTTATGGCTTTAAGGCCAGGTTCCTCTCAACAATTTTGAAAAAATGAAAATTTTTTTTTTTCATAAATTGCTACTATATACTTGTCGAAATAGTATAAAATAAGTCCCGAAGGTCAGCAAGGCCGAGAAGTAGGTGTAAAAGAGTGAGGAGCGCTGCTGGTAGTACGGCCGCTCGAACGCCTTAAAAACTTTAAACTGATTTTTCTCCGAACCACGTTTTTTCGCATGGATGACACTCTCATTTCAAAATTATGGCACTTATCGATTTGAACCAAACGGCATTTTACTCTTAATATGTCTGGCTATGGCCGGTACCAGAATCAGAAATATTCATTATTTTTTAAAAAAGTTATAAACAATTATAAGTGAAAAAAAGGGTTAAAAAAATTCAAAAGTCCGCCATTTTTTTATTTTTCATGGAAAATTTTTCATTCTGGTACCGGCCATAGCTACTTCGATGCAGAACACGAAACTATTTTGGTTTTTGCATTCAGATAATTATTTTTCAAGTAATCGTGTCATCCATCTACGAATCGGACGAGTTTCAGCAGCCATTTTCAGGACCGCCATTTTGAAAAAAAAAATTTTAAAAATTTTTTTTAGTAATTTCATATACATACTTTCATATATAAAAAAAATTGAATACTCAACATTTTTTGTTATGAAAATAAAATTAATTGAAAAAAGTACGTTTTTCAGAGGAACCTGGCCTAAAAAACTTTACAATTCTTCTTTGCTTTTTAATCTATACTTCCACTATAAACGCAATAACTCCATTTCAATTTCTGACCCAAAAGGGCAGGCCATAAAAAATGCTAACCTGTAATATATATATGCACAATTTATCGACACTATTCTAGGCTTTGAGCAAGTCAAGTTTATATTTTATTGCCACTCTATAATTTGACAGGTTTGTGCACCTAGCAGTCACTCTGAGATTCATTTTTGGCCAGACTTTGGTGCAAGATAGTAATCTTTAACAGACCCTGATGCGTTTGGGTGCCCGTTCCGCTCCCAGCAGCGCCGGCGGAGCTTCCCGCTGCCGCTCCCCCGATATTCAGGAGCTGCTCGTGGCGGCGCTGCCGCTTGGCCCGCTCCTCCTCGAGAACCGAGCGCCTTTGGACCGTCGTGGGAACATCCACCGCATCCTGCATGGGTGACTTGGCCTTGGGCTTCGTCGCCAGCAGCTTGGAGAAGTCTGGCTGGGCGTGCGTGTGGTTGATGCGATACTTCTGGCGCAGATCACTGAAGTCCATTTTCGGGTGCTTGATGTGCGGGATTTCGCCGCGGAACAGCTCGCAGATCTGGTCCAAATAGTTCAGCCAGACGCGCGATTCCACGTCGGTCAAGTCCAGCGACTGTTTGGCGCTCATGATGCGATCGATGTGCAGTTCACGCTCCAAAACGGCGAAGGCCAGCTCATTGCACTCCATGGGACTCATGTCCTTGGTGGCAGCAAAGTCGATGAGATCAGGACGATAGCTAAAGGGAGAACACATTATAGGTTTAATTATGGTTCAAGATTTAAATTAAATGGACTGCCCACCGATTGATGAGTGCACAGAGCACTCGTCCATTGCGGAACACATCCGAAGCCTCCTTCAGCTCCGGAATAAACTGATGGGCATGCAGCTGTGCGGAAATCCATCTTAGCAAAGTGGCTCCCTGGGGCAAAAGGTCTGGGAAATAAAAGCAAACAATTAAATAATTATTGGTATATTAAAAACCCAGTACTAACCTCCACTGCGTCGCTTCCTTCTGCCTGGAGTGTCCAGATGCGGCGTCTGCAGGGCGTGCGTGTCCATGAAGGTCTGCTCCAGAATGGACGGGTCATCCGTGTCCACCAGGTGCTTCACCTGCCAGCTGTTGACCGACTCCCTGTTCAGGTTCGGATACCTGGTGGCAGGGTCCACGGTGTAGGCACTAATGTCCCGCTGCAGCGTATCCGGAGTAGTTTGATTGAGCAGCCGGTAGATGCTCTCCCGTTGGGCCAGCACACCGAGAGTGCTGTTCTGCGGGTTGGACCACAGCTTGATGGCATAGGCCGCGTCCATGCTGGACAGGAAACCCCGGGCACAGCCCGATCCCGTGGGCCAGAAGGGCTCCAGCAGGCTGTCGCCCACGAGGCACTGCATCAGTCGAGCGCCCTTGCGCACAATCACACGGCAGGACATCTCGGCGGCGAACATCGAGGTGAAGTCGAACATGGCCACATCCGGTTTGCCGTAGTGATTGACGGCGAACTCCAGGTTGGGCATTTGGTATTGGGTGGAGAACTCGGCCGCCTCGCGGGCATAATCGTGCAGCTTCTGCGTGTCCACATTCGCAGGGGCCAAGAGCTCGCCGGGATCCGCCATGTCCTCGATGATGACGCCCTTGTCAATCAGACTGTGCTTCTTGGCCGTCATCACAAAATAGTGCGTCTCATCCTTGTAGTAGACGATGTTCTCCAGATCGATGCCCGTCTTGCCGTAGAGCTCCTTGAAGAAGGCCTGGTTGAAGATGAAGGCCACCCCGCTGATCTCCTCCACTTTGGCCTCCGCCTCCGTCTTCTTGTTGATGAAGTTCGCCGTGATGGCGATGGCCAGCTTGCCGCGGAACTCCTTCCTGCGGAAGTCCAGCATATTCCGCTTGCCATCCGCTCCGATCAGCACATCGAACTCGTAGTGGGAGACGGCGTGATCGGCGGGCGAGACGGCTGCCCTCCAGCCACCACCGTCGCCGGATGGCTCCACTGCGTGCTCGAAGCTGACGCCCTCGTGGATCTCGACGCCCAGGAGCAGCGCCACCTTGAGCAACATGCACTGCAGCTGCCGGATGGAGATGTGGTCGATGGAGCCGGCGCAGAACTTCCCATAGAACTTCTTCGCTCCCAGATTGCGCAGATCCGTGATGACGAAGGGCCACAGGTGGAGCACGTTGTTGCGGGTGATTCGATCGCGTTTCTCCAGCACCACCACCTTGGCTCCCAGCAACTGGGCCTCGATGGCGGTGCGCAGGCCACACGGCCCCGCACCGATGACCAGGACTCGGGTGCCGGAGCAGGCTGCTCCCTTTCCATAAACCCGATGGGCCGCTCGTGCGTCGAACTTCTTCCACAGCGCCTGCGCCTTCCACGAACGCACCTTGGCCTTCAGCCGCGGATAGAAGTCGTTGAGGGGCGACGGCCGCAGACCCACTGCCTCGCACATGGCGCGATGGAGCGCCAGGATCTGGCGCATCGTGGTGGCCACGCAGAGCAGGTCGAACAGCTCCGCCGCCTCTGCAGCCGCCGCATGTTCCGCCATCAGCAGTTGCTGTTGCTGCTGCTGCTGCGCCGTCAACTGCTGCTGATGCTGCTGCAACTGCTGCTGCTGCTGCTGCTGCGGCGGCAGGTGGTGATGATGGTGCTGCTGCTGCGGGTGGTGCCGCTGGTGTTGGCGGCTCATTCTGCGGGAGAAAAGAAGACGGAAAGACATTGGAAGGACAGTTAGTGAGGTGTTTCGGTGTGGCGACTACTAGTGTTCAGCATCAACAACTCACAACTTACACATGCTTAAATATTTTCTTGATTTCTTGGGTAAATTCAATTAATTCTTGACAGTGTTTTCTGATTTTTCATTCATTCATTTTAATATGCACGTACACATAACATATTTCTGTTAATTGGCCTGCGATCTGGCTTGCGCTTGCATGCCTGTCAAATTAATTTTAATTAATTAGGCGCATTATTAAAGAATATTAACGATGTTTATATACCCTATCCACCCCTTTTAAATGGGAAATATCAAAAATGGTTCAATGTTTTCCATATTTTAATTTAATAAGCATTTTAAAGAAACATGATTTTAAATGAGTATCAAGAACATCCCTTCGTCTTCAAGAAAAAGCCTCAACCTCCTTGAAAGTCAACGAACCGTCTCGTGTTTACTCATAAAGGACAGCCTCATATGTAAATGTAAACAAAATACAAGTTTTACTTTTTAAATATTCTCAGAAAGGCTGAAAGAAACACAATCCCCTTTCATCCTCCCACCCAAAAAGGAACTAACAAAGAGCTTTTTAACTGAACTTGTCATCATCTTGGTTGTTTGCTCTCCTTTTTGTTTTGCTTACAGATTCAAATGACAACTGAAATCTTGCCGGCAGAGCATTATAATTCCATTAATTGAATCAGAAATCAGAAAGAATTACTCATGCTGCGGGGTCCAGCGATAAAAATAAAAACCGTTGAACAAAGCGCAGAAAAGCAGGAAATTAACGAGGAAATCTTCCGATGGAAAGCTCAACTTTTGCATACCCTTAAAACCGATCTGTAGAAACCCTCATAAATAATAAAAATCCCAATAGCCAATTAACTCTCTTTGAACTCAAGCAGAGCGTTTTGTGCAAACCTATTTTAGCCAACTCCTGAATATAATTGGAATAGCCTTTGAGTGCTGACAAGTGAGCCAGACAAAAGCCAAAGGCAAATGAGCCGGTAAAAGCTGCCACTCGAGTTTGAACTTCTGTTTGGATTCGCCTAGACAGGCAACAACCTTACAATGGACAGTCGGGAGCGGAAAGCTGAGCTGGGAACTGAGAACTGGGAGCTGCCAAGTGGGAGCTGCAAGGTGGAAACCCTGAAGTGGAGTGCCATTTGCGCCGGGGCAAATAAAAAAATATAAAAAGTAAGCCACAAGACCGCAGCTGTTTGTTCTTTGTGCGAGTGTTTGCTGGATGTGAATGTCCCGCGTTCACTCAATTGCACAAAGGACAATAGCCCCTGGGAAAATGGAAACCGAACAAACGAGGACGAGTCATTGCCCCATTTAAGGAAACTTCAATCAGGTTTAGTGGATCACCTCTATTTAAATATTGAAGGGAACCTTCGAGAAACCCTCAAAGTTCAGTGGATCACCTCTATTTAAGTTATTGAAGGGAGGAGCATTTAAAAATATGCTCATAAACGTTTTATTCTTATCCTAACTAAAATCCAATCCAATCCAATGTTGTCCAAATGCGAAGCTCAGTTCGTTTTTATTGGACATTAAAAACTTTTTCCTGCACTCACAAATCTGCGCACAGATTGGCACAATTTTAAAACTGGATAATTTTCACTGGGTGGAGACGACTTGCAGGCGGCGTCGGACCTCCAGGGGCATGTCCCCGGATGGCAGTCGTTCGGGCTGCTCGCCCGGGGTCGTCCGCCGGTATCCGTTCGCAGTGACCATGGGCGGCGAACCGTCCAGCTGCTGCAGCTTGAGCATCAGGGGCGACATCTGGGGCGGTGATCCGTTGGGGCCGCTGCGACCCGCCAGAATGTCGGCAGCATACTGATCGATGTCCCGGCCCAGCTGCTCCACCACCGGCTGCACCACCGAGTAGCGGCCGTTCACACAGCTGAAGAACCCCTGGCGCTCCCCGCCCTCGAGGACATCGGTGACCACCGGGCGGATGCGTGGCAGCGGCAGGCGGTAGACGTCGGCCACCCGCTCGGTCACCTCGTAACTGGTCGCCGGACGGCCGAGAACCTTCAAGACTTCCAGGACCAGAGCACCATTCTGTCGGCCCAAGTTCGTGGGATTCATTTTCTGGCACACGCGGTTCTACAATTATGGCACTCACTGTGCCCTTGCCTCAGATCTTGAATACTACTTATTATCGTATTGCTAAAAATTAACAATGAATTTTCGCAATTTTTCGTTTGCGGCGCAAGCCAAAAAGGGTAAATCTAAATATTTTTGGTTGGAAAATACTAGTTGAAATGTTGATTGTCCCGATGTTCGTATAAAACTAAATTGAGACTCAGATTGAATAAATATTTGCGTTGGAGATAAGACCGGAAGGTTACTGGGATTTCCTTTTTTGGTTTTGCGTAAACGTGGTTGTTTTTCGTTTTGAAAAAGTGATATGAAGTTTTCACAAACCCTTTCTTTAATCTACCTTTCAGCTTGAATATAAAATTAACGAAGGATATCCTGTATAAAAATGAACTCTACAGTGGAAAGGGGAAAATCCTTTGTGAAATAATATTCAACGTAATATAAATAAAGCGGCTCATGCTTTCAGAAAAGGTTCCTTCTTTGCATAGATATTATCCCTGACAAATTGTTATACAGCAACCCACACAAGAAATCCTATCCCAATGCCAAAGTCAGTTCCGATTTTTGTTGGCTCATCGTCTACTGAAGTTCGGGGCAAAAATTCGTTTGGCGCCAAGAAAGTCATAAAAGAGCTCGCTTAATGCCCCCAACCACGCCCACTGTTCGGACAGGAAAGGGGCGGCGGGTAGCTGAGTGGGTGGGTCACGCAATTGGCGACAGTTCGACTATCTCCCTTTCCTGCTCTTTTTACAGAGGAAAAAATTGTCATTTTAATTGAAAAGCGGCTTATAAATTTTCAAAGTTTTTGAAAGGGTTTCCTATATTTTAATTATATTTCTTTTTATTTAACTGGTAACCTCTTTTCAGCTGATTGATTGTGATCATAATTGATCAAGAACTGAGTATAATTTTCTTTCCGTGTATCCCTCGATTTATTTCGCTCCCTCGCAATCCCTCGCTGTTTGTCTGGGTTAAACAAAAGCCTTGTGGGTCACATTGGGCACACACCACATTATGTCATTGCGCGGACGAAGGGGGGAAACGCCAAGGGAAATGGGAAGTGGGTGGTGAAAAGAGATGAAACACGAAAATTAAAGTCGCAAGAAAATGAAAAGTTAAACGCTTATCGATTTTGGTCTGCTGTTTTATCAGCCAACTGTCGCCACAACGCGAAGTTTGTTGAGGCAGGGAGGGAAATTAAAATTAACCAAAAATCTTGGGGAGGGCAGGGTATACAAACAACCGGCGAGGGTGGACTGCAGCAGGCTTTCCCTTTCGAATTTCGGGGGTTAGACGTTCAGGTGACTCATCTTTTTTGAACATTTTCGCTTATGCGAGGGTGGCCCAAAAAGAGCCCGCCATTTTTACAGCTCAATTACTCATAAATTCAGAAATAAAAACTTAATTGTGGGCTGTAGGCAAACGGAAGATTTCATAGTTTATAAAGTGATGCACATGGCTGCCGGACAAGATCAAGGTTCTCGAAAACAAATGAACCATTTCAGTTCGAAAATCTGAAATTTCTCTTACTTTTCCTAGTTGAAACTTGGCCGATGGCCAGAAAATTTGTATTAAACATTCAAAACACAAACATTTCGTTTTCTCATTCATAAACAAAATTATTAATTCTGTTCAATTTTATCTTATGTTTTCCCAATTTCACTTTTGCCAAAATTGTGTGCTCACCTGAAGCAATTGACTCGTTAGTTCAAATGTTTTTCGGTTATATCACAATGTTTTGTATTTGTTTATTTAATTTTTATTCGGAGCGTCTCGTTGCGAGTTGAAGAGCCACTTGATCGGTAATGAAGCTTCGCTACTGCCCGGGATCATTTTTAAGGCAATTTAATAAAAACACTCTACAAAGGCAGACGACAAAGGTACAATGAGTCCAGTCAGGTGAACAAAAGCCAGGAACACTCGAACCACCCCAACAACGTGAGAACTTCGTCACAAACTGTTGATATACAGAAAAACCATAAAGGAAACTCTAATTATAGATTTATAGATATTGTATCTTCCATCGGAACCCATTGAACAAGTGTTTATTTTTTATCACCAAAAAAAAAACAAGGTGATGGCAGATGGTAGTTAGGAAACACCTCGATAAGAAAACACTTTCTTGGACACTTTCTAATAACATCACAGAAACAGAAGAAATACTTTTAGACTTTGCCATGAAAGTCACGTAATTCTTATAATTTCTAGTTATTTTATACGTTGAACTTTTATGTGACAATAGTTGATAGAAATATGTGACTGAAACGTGAAGAGTTTCTAGAAGTTATTTACGTAGAGAAATCAATGGAAATTTTCTGAAGCACTCAAAGTTTGAGAGAAAATTCTCAACTAATAAACTTCTCAATTTCAAACAAAGTTTCTTAGCACCTCTACGCTTCAGAAGTATGGGCAAATACACAGAGCTTGGATAAAAAGCCATATGCAAATAGGCAGGCGCTGATTGATTTGCGCTCGTTGTTTTCTAATTTTGGTTCCTATGCCAATTGATCGACAGCCTTGCAGACGAAACGAAAATTGTTGAAATTGTACAAATTGATTTATGAACGCCAAGCAGACATTGGAGCCACACAAACAACAATGCGGAAGCGCCAACAAGCGTGTTTTTTTGGGATTAGGGGTACTCACTGCCAGCGGAAAACTCAAAAGCGAAATCATTTGACCAAGTGTGACAATTAAAAAAGCAACGCCTCCGGCGCTTTTCTTTACCTTTCCGCTGGTTTCACAATTACAACAAGATGACAAGTGAAAAATAATGAAAATAAATTTGATTGACTAAGTCTTGTCGCCAAGTTTTGGTTGGCAGCCAACTTAAATTTAGACAATTGTTATAAATTTGTTGGCGTATTTTATTTGGCACTAACAGACTTGGCCAAATAAATTACGTTTAATTAGTGGGATCCGGTCAAAGCGCCGACAGTTCAGCTTACTTCACGATGTTAGCAATTAAATATAGTATATATTGAGACACCCTAACTATATATTTTACTTTCGCAATTTTCTAGTTAGCTAAAACTTTCAGAACTTGGTGGGCATTTTACAAGAAAGTTTGCCTGTCACTTGGCAAAGAGTTAAACATATAGTGCTGCTGCACCATCAAGTGTAATCCGAGGCAGAAAGATATTCGAATAGACAGAGCAGCATAGCGTACGTTCGCTTAAACATTTTTCGCTATTCTTAGCCAAACAAAATTGGGTCAGCAAACGATGCGGTTGGCCAACTCGCAGCCACGAGCCAAACATTTTCCCACCGAAATTGAGCGAGATGAGGGGTGGATCTGCGAGGCGCCTTCAACTTTTTTTCTGCACTTACATATATCTGTATATTCTGTTTATAAATAAATAGCAAATTAATTGATTTTTAGTGTTTACCCCCGACTCGCATTCGTTTTTTATTCCCTACGCAAGCCGTATTTCTTGCTAAGCGAATTTTAATGCAAAATCAATTTTATGCCTCCCGGCAACTTCAAATGACATCATCGGTGAAAGAAAAACGAGTAGGTGAAGGTGCCCATTCATCGATTCAATTTCCTTGCGGCACAGCAGCATCCTTTGTGGATAATCCTTTTTGACATCATTTGATGTAGAGATGGCGTCATCATAGATTTAAAGTATATAAATCGATTTAAATTTAAGGGAAAAAACTTTCCATAACAGGAATTGCTATCATTTAAATTACTATTCAGCTTTCCATCTCTAGTTGAAAGATTTTGCAGTCATAATTTATTTAAAAACGCCCTATTTTTTTCGCATGAGAGACTCACTTCCTGCACACTTCAGCCCATGTTTAAATAATAAAAAATATATATGCCGCCTGTACAGGAAAAAGAAACGAAGCCGGGCGTGGCAAAAACCCTACTCCCCAATCCGCCCAGTTGCATTACAACTGGGATTGGGGTCAGACCCGGACAAAGTTCTCCTCTTGGAGCAACAAATTTAATAAACAACAAAATGCACACAAATTTACATAAATATTCTACTCTTTGCGGGGTTTAATTGCACACTCAGCTCACTTGTCTCAGTCGATGTCGATGTCGTGTGGGCCTGTCATATATGCAGCATTAACTGTAAGCAAAGGAAATATAATACGATACGATTAGATCGAGTTGAGTACGAATGCAATCTAAATAACTAGGAGGTATATTTATTGTGTTTAATTATGCCACCAACTCGTGTGACATTTCAATGTTGAGGCCAATTAAAGATATCGGCCTGCTCGTTAAATTCATGTGGGCTGTGCGAATAATTCAGAAAGCCCCCAAACCAACAACAACTGAAAACCAATTTATAAATGTCTTTGGGCTTATGATGGATTTCCAGTTGTGTGCGAGTCGCGTGGGCCACCAAGACAAAGAATTATGCAAAAAAAAAATATTGTTTAATAATATATGGTTCGACAATGTGAACCGAAACGTTGCACACACTTTTGGGGATATTTATAGTACAATTAAAAAAAAAACTATTGCTGTGGAGAACTTTTAACACATTGACATATCTTAGACATATTTTTGTCCGTACAACTTTTGAAAGAGTATACATGTTTTCAACATCAAAGCTAGGAAAACACCGTGAGCTGAATGCAAGCCCAATTTAATTGCATATGAAATGCAAAAATATGGGCAAGGTCTCAACCAAAAGCAGATTGAGTACGGCAGATTGCAAGAACAATTTATTGCATGTTCAATTGCAATAGCAGACAAGGTAAACAAACAAAATCGCAGACGTAAACACCTGCTTAGGTAACGTCGGCTACCACATGGCAATTACCACATCCTTTTACCTGAGTCCCCCCATCCTCGTAAAATTCGCACTGGACCCCCTCCCCTCTCTCCATACCCCTCGAGCAGTTAAAACTGAAAAAACTACGAACGAATGGGCATTTATTCAAAGCAACAGCCCGGGCACGAAAATGGCATTAAACTCGGTGGAGAAGAAGACGATGACGCTAGACGACTGACGATGAATAAAACACTTCGAGTCTCCGGTCCCCAGCGGAAAATGCAAACGAAAACCCCAACCAAAACTGGCCAGAGACAAGACCAAAAGGAAATAGCCGAAAAAGAAAATCCAAACGCAAAATCACGTGGCTAACCGCATCCACGTACAATTGGAGAAAATTGCATTTCAAAAAGGGGAAATGCAAAATGCTCTTTCAAAACGAATTCTAGAAAGCAACCAAAATGCCAATGAGTTTCAATATTAAAAAGAAATAATTTGGAATCTTTGGGAAGGACATAGATAGTTACTATTTTCTGTTTTCATAATGTAAACTTAACGTTTTACCAAAGTTCATATACTCCGTTAAAGGATATCGGAAAGTAGCAGCAAAAGGTTTGCGTCTCCTTTTTGGCAGTTTTGGCAATTTTGGCGGCTGCCGTTTTGCACTGCCTGCAATGAATGAAATTAAATGTTGCCAATGGGGATAGACTCGCGAATAGAAAAAAACAACATAGCCAGAAATGCTAGCATGCAAACAATAACAACCGCCACAGCACAACTCGTTTTGTTGTTAGCTGGTTTGGTTCGCTGGTTGCCGCAGCAGCCGTCAAAAGTTGCCAAACTTGGCCAAGTGTGCAATGGCAAGTGTTCAGTTATTTTTATAGCCACCGCAGCAGCAGCGGCAACAACAACAACAACAACTACAGCTACAACAACAGAAACCACGACAACCATGACAAGTGCAGCAAACTCTTGGCCAGGCAAAGGTGAAATATGATTGCAGGCTGGTTGGCCCCAAGTCTTGAGCCTTAAGGAAAACCAAGCCGAGGCAAAATTCGTTTGCCAAATCGTTGTTATTGCTGTTGTTGTTGTTGTTGTTGTTGTAGCGCTTTCACTAGTTGCGCCGCCGACTTTTCCCATTTCGAAAACGCGGCTCTTACAGTTGGCCTATAACTCGAAGCATTGGCATGCCGAATTTCGGCCCAATAAATGAACATGTGCTGGCGGCCAAAAATTCTATACAATATGTGCGGCCGCACCCAAATTGTTTTACAAATTTTGTACATAAATATGCAAATTTGTTGGTTGATGTTGTTCATTAGTTTGATGAACATTTGATGAATATGAAAAGTTGTTTGCATAATTTAAGCGAAAAGAGAGAGGTACACATTTGGCTTCTTGCCACTTATATTGTGTTAAATAGATTTTAATTGATCAAAAAAGAAGGGTGGTACAGGAATTTAAACTTTTTTTTAGCAAATTAATAAATTAGGGAAACCAAATAGTACGTTTCAGATAAGATTTCAATAAAAATGGTTAAAAATAACCTTTATTCCCTCATAATGTTTTTGCTCTGCAAAAATCTTATTTATTTTAAGAGTTTGTAAAGCATTAGATACAGCGTGATGTGCTCCGCTTTCAGTTTCGTTCTACGTTTATCTCTATTTGCATTCTTCACCAGCTATGAGTAAAGTTACCACTCGCTACTACACTCTTTCGCCAGATTTATAAGCTAGTTTAACCCGTTCAAAATACGGCAGCTGCAGCAAGCTAAGTGGTCTATGGCACGTTATAAGCCAAACAAGCGAAAAACGTAAACAGAAGGGAGACAAATAAAGCAGACTGTGAGATAAAGTATCTGGAGATGACAAATCTGAGATACGGCACCGCCCTGAGCTGCGAAGATAAATAGATGACCTGACCTTTAGTCGCACTGCGATGCCACGGATGCCACAAAGAAACAAAAGAGAGGCTGCCACAATGCCGGCAGTTAATCATCGGTTATATCATTGACCTCCCGAGAGTTCGAGGCGGGCTTCTCCTGCATAATCAGTCGGCCAGACACACACAACCTCCGCGTTTTTTTTTTTGCTGCTCACCACCGCAGCATAATTAACATTTGAGCGCTAAATGTAATTAGCGATTGCCTGCACTTAATTGCACTTTCATTGAGCAGAGTTCATTGCCGCATCTCGTAGCTTTTGTGTTGTGTCAAATGTTGCTCCGTGTCAAACACAATATTCAATTTTCTTTTGCGCCGCCCATCAAACTTTCTGGCTGCGCCGGCGATTGAGTATCTGCAAGATACACAAAAGCAGAGCCAAGAGCCAACAAACAAACGCGCCTCGGAAAATAAACAAGCACACACATCGAGATGCACCGCTGCCAACGCAAAGCGTTTGGGTCGTGTACTTTGTTTAAAAATAACAAGAAAATAAGAAAATGTATATGCTCTGCCAGCACTGCAGTTCTGCCTTCCCAAAAGATACGGGCCCACTCGATGCACACAGCTGGGTCTCCGCTTCCACTGTAAACACTGCGTCTAAATAAACCCCATTCAAGGATGGTTCGCAGCAGCTTCTTCAAAGCGTTTCTGACCTCAAACAAGTTCTAAAAAGTCACAGGTTTATTTTGTGAGGGAGGAGCAGGCAAACACATTTCAATTGAAAAGTTTAAAGGCAATGGTTGTTTACTTTCAGCGAAAAGAGTTCGTAGATTAAACTGGAATGCATGGTGCTTTCAAATTAAGTTCAATCTAATTTACACAGAAATTAGTATGTATTCAAAAACATATTCCATAAAATTAATAGCCTTCGCTTTAATTCCACATAACCAAACATCAATTACTTTTCGCGTAAATGCAGTTGCACTTTAAATTCAGATATGGCAGGATCACTTACACACGAGGCACTCGAGGTGATATATTTAGACCACTCACGCAGAAAGTTGACAAAGAAAGGCGACTTCGAGCCGCCTCGAGTGCCAAGGCCCGAGGTGGGAAATTGCGATTTTCACGCACCGCTCCCCGTGCGATTTACTCCTGTGCAACACAACGTTACCTGTCCCTGACTTTTTTCTTTTTTTTCTTTTGCTTTTTGATGTCGCTTTAAGCGTGCGTGAAGTGCGGCTATTAGGAAAAATGTGTCTCTTGCAAAGGCAATGCGCCTATTTTTAGTGCATTGGCTCCGCCAGCTTCGGGTTGGCCATGAAAATGTATCTGCATCTGAGTTGGTTGCAGTTGCAGGTGTACTGGCTGCGGCGGCACAGGTGAAAGTATTTAATTATGCGTCTGCGGCATGACAAATCTGTTGGTGTTGATGAATTGCCATTGCAATGCAAAACATCCTTGGCTAAATGTCGGCCTGCCAAGTGAATTTCCCGGCGCATATGGCCAGCGGATGCGAAAAAAAAACAACGCTCGGACAGGAAAGTGAGTGCCCAAAATGGGACTCGTCGGATTGGCGTTTTCATTGGAAAAAACGGCGAGGCAACATCGCCATGTGTGGCACTCACAGGGGCGCTGATCGCTGCTCGATAACAATGGGCAAACATTTATCGGAAACGCAAAACAAACAAAGTGTCAATTGGCCGGGATTTCGCCTTGCCAATTGCTCTCGTATCTCTTAGCCACTTGCGTGTTTATTTGTTTGCCAAACTTGTTTGTTTGCCCGCCTTCGCCCCCGACTTCCCGTTTTGGTATTAATTTGCTTAGCAATTGACACTTGTCTGCCATGAATATTTGAGCTGGTTTCGAATAGTTGGCAGATGTCGCATGGATTTCACTTTCTATATTTCCTCGGAGAATTTGAGTGTATTTGCTAAGCCGAGGGGAATTCAGTTTCCCATTTTCATGTTATTACAGCCAGATTTCTTTAAGGTTCCCTGATGATTTATATTTAATTGGGAGAATTTCAGAATTGCGAATGAGATTGCTTATCTAATCGCTTCTGAATTTTCCTGGGAATTGTCTATAAATCTCAGCGGCACACCGGGCGTATGAGTAACAATTCATATAAAACATTGCTGGGAGTTCTGCGATGACAACGGAATGGCGAATGTGCCAATTATTGCCAGCTATTAAGTCGCTAATTTGCCAAACGATTAACCAGGTGCACTTAAAATGAAAATTTGCTTGATTTTAGACTATAAACAGTGCATGAGCAATCGACATTGTCAAAAGATGAGCTGACGAAATACAATCTAAATCGAAAGCTAAGCCAACCGAGCAAAGCCATCGGTTTTAAAGTGCAACTGCAACTATTTTTACATTCAATTTTATTTATATTCAAGCATTTCTTGCTGCTGCAGTTATTTTGATTCGATTTCGTTGTCCGCTGGCATTTTCA